ATTTTAATCTACCAAAATAAACACACCTTTTAAAAATTTGATTTATAAAACTATTTAACCGTTTAGTTCCTTGTGAACCACACAGCAAATTTAAGAGGAAGTACAATTATCTTTACATTCAAATAAAATTTCCAAAGTTTTTAATATTTTATTTTTTTAAGGTTTTCATAAACAGCTTTCCTAATTTGAAAGCTGTTTAACTAAAACATAATCTTTACTGTATAGAGATTGTAGGACATTTATGAGATATATTATTGTAGTTTTTCTCATTTTCCTAAAAAGGTTATCCATGACACATCTGACAAATGTTTGAATGTTTTTTAAACAATCCATTGACATCTCTAACACTAATCCTATTAGGACCGTCTTGAATTATCAAAGAGAGTCAAATGAGTTGATGTTATGAATGTTATCTGATTTTTTTTTCACCTCAAAATCTGCAGATACAAAAGCACTACAGCTAAAATCTTCTAAAACTGCCTCACAAGGCCTTTTGAAACAAGAAAATTCTTGCCAAGTGTTGTGCTATTGTATGCACCCTAGCACTGACTCCTCAACAAGGACACAGAGTTACCTAAGCACAATAGAAGACAACTCTATCCTCAGAGCTCCTTGTGGGGACAATCCTCCAATATTTGACGTTAAACAGCTAGAAACTTTACTCTGACAGCCAAACAACAAAAATGGTTATTTAGCCGGCATCCTATTATTAGTTTTTTACTGTTTTCTTTTAACCTAAGGAAAGAAGCTGCTATTAATCTTACCTTCTGACATGCTCATGGTTCTCATACCCCTCCCATTACTTTCACAAAAACAACTATTCTAGACACTCATTTATCAAAACAAAGGATGTCCTGCAAGGCCCCCTTTTCTCTTCTTTTTGCTTTACAAGAATGCAAATATGCAGCTGCTGTCTCACTCAGAGCGGTGCAGATAAATGTGAGCCCTCACACTAAGAGCCTCTCAAGGCCTAAAGCTTATGGGAACCATAACAAGTCAGACAAATGGTAAAATTGGAAGAGCCTAATTTGAATCTAAGGGTCGCAGCAGGTAAGCAGGTTTCTGCATATATCCATTATGTCTGCTGAGATGAAAACGCTGCTGTTTATTACTAAGAGAGAAGCTCTTCCCTTCAACAAAGCAACTTTTTTTTTTTTTCCAGCATCAAAATCTGGGGCAAAGGACAAGTAAAGTGGCTTCTTTCACTAGAATAAAGTGTTCATTTGAATGGAAGAACAAAATATGCGGCCGTTCACTGGAAAAATGTCTGTCGGATGAAAGAAGTGGACAAGGAGGAATGGTTGGTGTATTTGGGTCAGGGCCATAAACAAATAATGTAAATCGAGGGGATTAAAGTCGAATGCAGTTCAAAAGAAATAGGTGGATCATAACAGAGATGGTGAAAAGTGTGTGAATTTTGAAGATGAATGCCTCGGTGTAAAAAAGAATCCCTTCTGTTGAACTATCCCACATTTAATCCAGGGCAAAAAATGTAAAATGACAAATAGAGGAAAAAAACAGTGAGGAAATACAGCAGTAAGCCAGGTGGGCTTCAGTTTTGGTAATGATGGATAAAGTGATATTGAATTAAACATGAGTTTGCTAGCAGGTGGATAAAATGATGCAAGGATAGGATTGTCTGTACATCATTAAATATAAATGGTTCTCTTGACCCCAGGCTAAATGACAACATTCCTACAGATGTGCTGCTAAATGCACAAGTAATCATTCTCAGTGCAATATCAACCAGATCATCTTGTGGTAAAGCACTCTGGAATGTCTGACCTCTATTTTCCATTAAGGCTTTTGCACATAACTGGGAAAATAGTGGATATTGACTGTCACACACTGACATCTATTCACAGTAGAAAATATAATACAAAATATTACACAGACCCACCTACGAAAGGAAACAAAAAAATGCATCAGCATTTATGGTCATGCAGCAGCATTTTCATTTAGATTTCAATCTTCGATTTTAGTGGATTACTCCATAAAAATTTCTTTTTATTTTTTGACCCATTTAAAGTTCAACTTGATTATGTGCTTCAGATCATTGATGTGCTGCAGTTAACGAGGTAAGGACTAAAAACCAACTTTAAGCAGGGTTCATAGTTTTATAAACTATAGAGAATCATCCGGGTTCTAGAGAAGCAAAGTCAGTTAAGGCCATCTTTGACTAGTTTGTCTGAGGCCTTTCTCTAAACTTATAGAGATAACAGGATGCTGACCTCTGCAAAAATTAATTCTTGTCATTTATAGCTCTATGAATATATCTTTTTAAAAGATCATCATGATATTCCTTGGAGTTTCCATGTTTTTCTTTGCTGGTAACTGACTTGTTTGGCTGCTTTTTACCTCTTATTGTTTACTTTAGGGCTGAAACAATTAATTGGATTAATCGCGATTAATCGATTATAGAAATAAGCAACTAATTTAGTATTAATTTAATCATTAACTGGAGTATAGAGACTCTACAACATGGCTTTAGCTGAAAGAGAAACCCACCTTGAGCAGCAATTAAATAAAAAATATCTTGAATTTAAAATAGAATAAAAAAAATCTAACTTAATGTTCTCTATAAAGAACTCCTCAAGTGGAAAGATTTTAGTTTCACCTGGTTTAATTTTGTAAAAAATCTTTGAGGAAGCTATGTTCGGTTATTTATTATTATTCAAATATTTTTGTAGTTGATTATTTCTTAATGATAGCCTTCTCAGACACTTCAAAGCCTAAATGTGAATGGTCTGCTGCCATAAGTTTATCTAGTACCTAAACTAGGTCACATTTGAAATTATTATCAATAAGCTAGGAAAAATGTAGGCATTGCTCAGAAAGTACGTCATATTTGAGGTTTTGTTTCTTCAAAATGTTGAGTAGGGAGGATGGAGTCCTGATGCATACTTGGACACCCTGGCTTTGACTCGTCTAGTGCTTACTCAGCTATAGTTTATTGCCAGAAGATATTATCTAAATGGTAAATGGCCTGTACCTAAACTGTGCCTTAAACAGTCAAGTTTAAGGCACAGTTGTCACTGTTGTCATATTTGTCAAGTCATTTGTAAAACCAGTCAAGGCATTCCTCCAGCACCACTGTATCCACCCCTAGTGGCGGAAGACACTATCTATTGACTGATTGTATCTGCTAGAGAAAAAAAACAAGAAATGGTCATAAGTGTTTACTCAACATCATATGTACAGCTGCACAATTTTTAGAGTTCAAGCCATCACATAAAAAAAAAAATCTCTAGATCAATAGCAGGAGCTTTTATATAGTTCTTTTTATTTTTGCTCCTATTCAAAAAACTGAAAGTGACAAAGACACAATCAAATAAAGTTAGCCAACAGGGAGCGACATTTAAATAAAAAAAACCTTTGCATGCAAATTATAGTACTAACCTGCCCCCTTCAAGGTATTCCTACTTTTTTAATAACTCTACAAATCAAGTCTCTTAATTGTGTCTGACACACACAAAAAAATCCTAATTAAAAAAATTCAATGTGTAAATAGATTCAAAAACAGAACAAAATACTTTTTTCACATTAGACCTACTGATACACAAGAATAAAGCATTTTGTGAAAGTATTTCCTCTTTTGTACCTCATATTATCGACGGGGATAGTCTATTTTATATATTCCATGCTGAACAAAACTTTAGAGTATTCACTGATCTTAGGCGCTTTACACTTTACTTAATGAACTCTCCAGTAGCTCATAATTATAAATGCCTCATAACCTGACATTGCATATTCTTGTTAAAAGCTTATTAAAAAAACTGAGTGCTTCAGACATCCTTAAAAAACCTTCAATGTATTTCTTTGGTGGAAACAAAACAAGAAAGCCTTCTTATAACAGTCGTGTTTGATTTTTAATAGCACATGAGTGTATCTGAGAAATATAAAAGGGGAAGAAGTGTTTACAGTACATTCCATTTGCAGAGAAGCAGAAACCTACAGGAGTTAAAAGGACAAGAACAGATCTGTTATATGAGTTACAATCTTCCCGGTTTAAGGTTGCATCAGCAGGTACCAGCAAACAGCACAACCTAACTTTGTGTACAGTTGCATTGCTTGTGGCCATTGCACATCTCTGATTTAAGTACAAAAAAAATACATCTTTAGTGTGGGTACATTCATCAATATATAAAAGTGTCTTCATTTCTTTATTGTGCTTTATTGGGGAATATTGCCTTCTTTCTAACTGCTGAGTAAAATAAAATCTCAGAGCTGCCAATCCTGAGCGCCAAGCAGGGAAATGCATTACAGCATCGCTTGTGAACCAATTGAAGAGCATATGCTCCGGGCCACTTTACAACTGGGGCGACTACCTTGTGCCAAAAATAACTCTTGCTTAAACAGAGCAGAATTGTGCTAAATATGCATCAGTAAATGCCAGGTGTAACGATTGAAATACCAAATCGTGTTTCCTTTAAATAGAAAGGTAAATGGCAAGCTCGCTCTCCACGGGGCAACATGCAGCATGTTAATGTGTGTCTACAGGCACTACTCAAAGGAGTTGGAAAGGCATGCAGAGAGAAACAGGAGCAGGAGGGGGGAGCATGTGGAAAGGGAGAAGAAACGGTGGGGGTAAAGAGTCTCTGTGCTCTGTACGACAAACCACAGCAGGGGTCTTGCTACCGACGGCATGATGCGAGTCCCAAAGCTACCACCAGGAATATTCAGATAGACATTTTCCTCCATCCTTTATCCCCCTTTCCCTCCTTGGCAGGTGGGTTAGAAGCACAAGACACCCCATCTCTCATTTCACAATGTCTTATTTTCTTAATTCAACCAGTCCTACATTGTTCTCTTGCAGCAGTGCATTCAAAGAGGTTGGAGTGAGCAAGAAAAGGAAGGTTATTCGACTGAAGAGGAAAGAAGATGGAGAGCCGAGACCATCGCTCTCTTTCCCGATGTTAATATCTTGTCACACATTATAACTGATTCCAGCAGACGGAGCCTCAAGGTGCAGGAGCAGGGAAACAAAGATCAACCATTTTCATACATGTAGATCCTCCACCATAAAGCTCCCAAACTAACTCAAACATCTGAATGCCATGTAAGAACACAAACTATTTCATATAATACACCTACTGTAAAAACTCAATTCCTCTCCTCATGCATTTGGATTTAGAAAAGCTTGTGAAACAAAGGGAATTGCTTGTCGAATTCTCCTACAGTAGATGCCTTGCCAGGTAAGAACACAAACTATTTCATATAATACACCTACTGTAAAAACTCAGCTCCTCTTCTCATGCATTTGGATTTGGAAAAGCTTTTGGAACAAAGGGAATTGCTTGTCGAATTCTCCTACAGTAGATGCCTTGCCGCGATATTGGAAACCACAGCTGAACAGTCCTGTATTTTAGGTTAGGAATATTCCAAAAAAATGTGTCCTGGATATAGTCCTGCAGATTTCTTGGTAATTCCAATGGAAATATGCTACAAACCCTGATCTGGACTCTGATAAAGTCTTATGTGTCCAGTTTGAGAAGAACATCCCGGGCTCCTATGTGGGTCCTCCTCCCCTCCGTCCTGCGGAGGCGGACTTTGTACCGTAAATCTGATAGAGCCAGAATCCATCGAAACCTCTGGGATGCCAGAGGGCAGCTGTGGTATCCTAGACGATAAGTCTGGAGTTAAAGGAGGAGTTGACCTGGGGATAGCTGGATGAACTAACTGGAGGCTCTGCGGCCTGTGTGTCTGTGAGTCTGCGAAGCACATCGCAGTATGCTGCTGGGACATTGTGAGGGATGAGCAGGGCAATGGCATGGGAGGGTCCGTCCAGATGGAGGCAGCCTTAGATGGTGAATGGTAGGACTGAGGAGGGGATGGACAGTGCATGTATGTGTGATGTGCTGGAGAGTAATGTGTAGGACAGATTATTGCAGGTTGGGGCACCGACGGCGTAAGGGTCTCCATTAGCGTGGCCATTCTCTTCTTGACCTGCCCGAGGTCGGCTACTTCCCTCCGGAGGGTGCTCACCTGCAAACACAAACAGGAGTTATCTCCAAAATCTAAGATCTTGACTGGTAGTGCTTTACCTCAGAGAGTTTTGATATTTTCTCTCAGCATACTTCCTTATAGTTGCAGGCATGCAATATGCAGTTCTTTATCACAATCACCTTAAGGACAAGGTAACATAAATAAAAGAAGACCTTAATGATGAGCAGCAGACAAGTTAGTTTGAAAAAGTTGAATGGTGCTGTGGCGTTATATAAATCTCTTTTCCATTCAATAACAAGAACAAGTAGCTTCTATACAGAATCTAAAAAAACTTAAAACTGTTATTTTTTCAGTGTTACATTTATGTGTTTTGACTTTGTTTAGACTTTTTTCAAGTTGTAGGTCTCATTGCAGTTCATTTCCTTAACATCATAACTTCACTTGGTGCTGATCAAAACTGAAGGAAAATTATGCAGCTACCTCTCAGTAAAAGCAGTAAAAAATCTAGGAAGACTTTACGAAAACCAACATAAAATACAGTTTGACTATCATGATTTGTCAAGATCATGATATAAAGCCAAGATCTCACTATGGATTTCTGATAAATGCTAAGGGACCCTTATGGATTTACAACAGAAATCATTTGTTGCAGCTTTATTTTCTTCATTTCATATTTGAGTACTTAAAACTATTTAAATAGGAATAAGATGTTGAGAAACGGTGACAGGCTGAGGATCTGTCCAGGATGTACCTCACCTTTTGTCTACAGACTGCTGGAGATAGGAACCAGCCCCCCTGATGAATAAATGGAAGACGATGAATGGAAAGATGTTTGAGAAATTCACAATTTCACAAAGAACCCTGTGTTGCTTCTTGAAAACCTCAAATTTATGTATTTTTTATTCTTACTTTAGGTACCAATATGCTGATTCTAAGTCTGTCATGATCTTAGGACTGATGAATGGATTCATTATTCGTTCCATTATTCATTCCATTAGCTCCGCCCAGTTTCTCATCGGCATTCATCTGATTCACCTTCTCCAGCTTCTTTTTAACCACCCCTCTAACCATTCATCAGTGCCAGATTATTCTCGAGCCAGTGGTGAGAGTGTTCTAGCGTTACCTGAGTGTTTCTGATTACCTGATCCTGACCTGTTCTGCCTCTCAACCACTGAGCCTGCCTGTTCACATGTGATCTGTTTGCCTGACCTGTCTTTGGACTTCTGGATTTCCCTCTGGAGCCTCTTTGGAGCATCTCAATCAACCTTGTTCTGTGGGCACTGACAAAACTATGCAACCAGGTTAGTGGCTCACACTTTCATCATTATCCTCCTTGAGATTAACATGGACACTAACCTGTGTTTTCCTCCTGCAGAGGTTCCTGCCTTAGATGTCCTTGCTGTTACTGCAGATCTGTTATTTTTAAATAAACACGTTTGAGATATCTGACTCTCCGTCCTTCAGAACAATGTGTCCCCTGTTCTAACTCTTGAAAAAAAGTTAAAACACAGGCTACACACTGCACCAAAGTAGTTGCGCACCCTACCTTGAGGTTTGAAAGAAGAGAAACTTGACTGAGACGGTTTTGATGGGGAGGACATTAGTTAAAGTGAAAGTTACTTCATGCTGAGTGAAATATAGGAATGAACTACAAAGGGGGTGCTAATTTTCAATTTTCAACAGGTTTTTTATTTTAAGGGAAACTAGAATAAACCAATAAGAGTATTATACTGTAAATATAGATATATTATAGTGGAAGGGCACATAGTTGTCTACTAAGGTTACATCTCCACAGAAAAATAGGAGCCATTAAATTGGTAATTTTGTTTTAGCTAGATTTCAACTTGTCTGAATACTCAGTAGGTCCTAACAAAGCTGCATCCTAATTTTATTTAATTTAACTGTAAAAACAGTTTGGCTTTGATCTCTCATGTGTTCTTGATCATGACTGTCACACAAAAACCGAGATTACAGTGTTAGACCACACTTACTGCAATACCAAGGAACCTTACAAACCCTATAACAAGAAAAACATAAAAAATTTTCTCATTAAAAGTGAAAGCTATGCTTTTCTCCAGTTAAAATCTACATATTTGAGCTAGTGAGTTTTTTCATTATGATTTCAAGGCTTCTGCATTAAGACTGACCGATAGCATGAGATATTGCATGTTAACATGTTCATATATGAGGATCTTTAAGTAAACTCTTCAAATGTAAACACTAGTTTATTTAGCTGGCTGTTAAGTCTATTATTTGCACATTGTTTAAACAAAGGCTTAAGCGCTGGTCTCCTTCTGCAAGATATGTTTTTAGTTTTTGGGTTCTATGCATTAAAAAAACAGAATCCCAGGATCTGTGAACATGTCACCTCTCTAATGTTTCGCAAGTAAATCCGAGCTGCAGTAATCATCCAGTATATGGAAGGTGGCTGGTCATTAGGTGCTCCCTTCACGTGGTATGTCCATCGAGGCCATGGCCATGAAGCCCTGCCAATGCGCCATCTGCTTCTGCCAGTCATGGCGCTCATGACCATCCATCTGGGCAATGACGCTCTTCATTACAACTGGATGCACATCAGCTCTCAGCAGGGCATGCAGCTCCACATGGGAAGTGCTCAACTCGCTGTGTGAATATGTCAAGAGGTGATCAGGCAAAGTGTGCAACTATAATATGATTGCAGCCGACTGAATCAGGCTGGGCACTCCTACTCCCTCTTTGAGTTTTTAAGGACACACATTAAAAACTGGGCATCCAATTCATAATAGATTTGAAAATAAATATGCATGGTGTAACAATTAGTTACCAAATCTGCAGTATGTTTCTACCAATATTTTAGCAGACAGAAACAGTCAGTCCTCTTTTTTTGACAGCATCACTTTTTCTCGTCTCATGTGGTGAGATGCCAGGGTCGAAAGTGTGGCTCAGATAAAAATAGAAAAGCAGAGAGTGGCAGGACAGTCCAATCTGACACGCTGTCAACATGATTCCTGGACTCCAATATTTGAGACAAACCATCAGTGGTCAGACTGAGGGAGAACAAAAAATAGCAGCTGACCAGAACAAACCCACAGCCTTTAACTCATAATGAAAAATGATTATAGAAAAATTGCTTATATCCTAAATTTCTACTTTCTTAGTAGCAGGTATTATGCATACTTAATTCAAGTATTGTTTTAGGAGAACATTTTTGACATAAATGTCCTTTTATTGCCAAAGCAGGACCTGAGTCCAACTAAAGAAGTTGTCATTTCTCTGTCAAACACACCATGCTGAGAGTTACCCTCATTAAGTCATTTTACCCTCTCTAACAATCTCCGTTGTGGCTTTTCAATGTTTCTGTAAAACCTCCTGTTACCAGAGATGGGAGTAAAAATTCCTTGGATTAGATTTATTAGAATTCCATTACAAATTGGTGTCTGTAATATAAGTTTGTTAAATAAAGTCAGTCTTGCACCTATTAAGCTCTAGTTTTCTGCCAAACATCTGTGTTGTATTATATTGGTTTCAATCCAACAAGGCATAAATTGGTTACTAGTGTAAGGTACACCAACATTTTAAATGATAAAAATTTAGAAATGTCTGAAGCTTTTTACTTTTAATTCTACCTTTCAACAGCTAAAACCCTTTAAAAGAGATGCCGAAGCAGCAGAGGGACTGGACTTTTCTTTTATTGTAGAAGCACTAAAAGTAAAGGAGCACCACCTATCACTCTTATTAAGGAAATTATGTTTTAAAGCTGTGCAGCACTGTTGCCATGCAGCAAGAAGGTTCTGGGTTCAGTTCCCAGCCAAGGGTCTTTCTGCATGGAGTTTACATGTTCTCCCTGTGCCTGTGTTGGTCCTCTCTGAGTACACATACTTTCTCCCACCCTGTCCAGGGTGTACCCTGCCTTTCACCCATAGACTGCCAGAGATAGGCACCGCCCCCACCGCGACCCTGGTGAAATAAGTGGGAGGAGATGGATGGATGTTTTTAAACTACAGTTAGCAAACTGTGGCATATAGGTAATATTTTGCAAAAAAGAACTTTAAAACAACTTTTGAATTTCACATCTGTATATACTACATTACATATTTATAATAGTGTCTGTCAATCAAAATTAAATTGTTTATATATGCTAGTTATAACATTATTGTACTTGAAATAATGTTGGTTTATGGTAGTGAGAATCAGCACTGCTTTTCTCTAAAAACTATTGAAATGATTAAAATGTGTATTTTTTGTTATTTAATGTAATCGTGTTTTTTGTCATGTTTTAATGTCTGCCTCTTCGCTAAATCAAGTTGCTGTAGTTTTAAAGACAGGTTTGTACTGTCTTAAAAGATATGGCACTTAATTCAAAATGTATACAAAGGGGCCATCAGGTCTTTAAAAAAAGTTTTTCAATACCTATTTGGTTGAAATTTGTTTGTAAATACTGTGCTATAATTATTTGTGAAACATTTTCTAATCAGACATAAATCATAAGCATTGGAACATAGCATTACAAGTGATTAACATATACACTTTGCACAAGCACTACTGAGTCTGCTTGCTAAACAACATGATTTGACTGACTACTTTTTGCAGTTAAACGCAAAATATTACAAAAAAAAGGTTCACAAACTGAGCCACTACGACTACTGCCGTGCAAGTAAAAAATACGTGGAAAGAATAGTACAAAAAAAAAGCTAAACATAAATTCTGTAAGCTGACTTGGTTGAAACCAAACGGAAGAAGAAACCCACAGTTCAGATTACAAAATTGAGTAAATAGAGAAAATAATCAATACAAATTAGAATACAGTAAGAGCCTAATGACTGGAAGCCTAAATGGGAGCAGGAACTAATTAAGAGATTAAATTCAAAGCAAACTGAACCTGATCTTTTCAAATCTAAACCTGAAGAACCAGGAGAGCAACTTAAAAAAATAGCAGACAAACAGGAATGTGTGGTAAAATGAATAATACTGGAGGGAATTAAAGGGCATTGAAATAATAACCTTACAATGCTAAAAACAGTCCGTAGTGCACATGTATTGCTAATTAAAGTTGATCGGATGCTAGCATCAATAAAGATGTTACCACTAATAGGCTCAACAGGCTATTGTTGAGCACCCACCTCTACACTGAGATCCCCTCATATATACTGTATTATGTATTATAACTATGTATGTGAACTATAAAGGTGCTGCACCCATTGTCTTAGCCGCACATCTAAAGCTTTTTTGTTTTACACTTAAACTCTTCAAATACATCAACTGCTTAGAATAAGACAAAGTTATTGGCGACTAAATAAAATGCAGATATAAAATACTGCCACTTGCAAAGTTAGTATTCTTTGAAGTATTTGTCTTTGGTATGTTTAAGAACATAACATGAATTGAAAAGCTAATGTTTCACATTGTTCTTCAATGGATTGAAATTTGTGTTTCATTTTAGACATGCTTTATAATAAAATAGGAAACAAGATTTGTCTATTAACTATCTAGCTTTAATTCACCATCTTTATACTTGACAGGTGGAGGATAAATAATTTAAACTGTTTTTTATGGACTAGAAATTTTAGAGTTTTGGTTCATTACATCTTCTATTCTAAGTTCACCTGCCTACATTTTTCTCACCATCAACAGAGCCATATGTTTTTTTTAGGTCATCGAACTGGCAGGCTTTCATTTCTGGAAGCCAAACTGTGATTCTTTCCAACTACATCTGTCTAAATCCTCCCCTTAGAACAAGTTTTCCTACTTCTGATTTTTTTTTATAATTCATATTATCAGAAGCTTTCTAATTGCAGCAATAGAAGTGTCATCCTAAAATATACAGGTTCCCAAATCATATCATGCACTGTAACCGCAGGGTCCTGCCTGACGGCAGTTGCAGCTACCATGTAGCTTGCCATCTTGAATGACATGTAAAACACTTCGGGATCCCTTAACTTATAAAGTATAAGCACAGGCCAAACCTGCTGGTCGAGGTGTCGCAGTTGTCCCCTGGTCTCCTCCGCTTTGGCTGCAAATTCTGTTGTGCTGATCTGCAGCATATCTGTTAAATTGAGCAAATATAAAAAAATAAAGAGTGAATTAAAGAGTAAACCAAACAAAATCATATAGAAAGTACAAATGCCCACCCTCGAATTACATAACCAAGGTTAGAATAAAAATATGCAATAGAAGGTAAGGTTTTTGGGTGTGGACATTTATTTGATGATTGTAAAAAAAAAAAATCTAAATAGAATAGATGATGTGCTGTGTCATAGAAAAAACCTGTGTTGGACGTTGAGGCACTGGTTTGTTCACTGACAGGGCAGCCAAGGCTCGTGGAAAAAGAGAACGTCTGGGAGGTTTCTGTTCCCTCACTGTCCTCAGTACCGTCCCCTATCCTATAAAGACATGGAAATGATGGAGTAACATCTAGCCTCTGAGTTGCTTCGGATTACCCCAGAGACACACTGACAATACATCATAAACATGAAATGACAGTTTTACAATAATTAATCACAATTAGATTAGATTAGATGAGCTTTATTGATCTCACAGCGGAGAAATTCACTTCACATACATATCACAATTACTGTGATATGTATGCTTTCTGGATGCTTTAACTGTTACCCAAAGGAGAAGTGTAAGCCCCTGAAGTTAACACATTCTATGGTGATGAGGACCAGTGGCTATATAGGTTCTGTTATCTTAAGGGTCATGGCCTTTTTCATTTTATAGCATTTTATACTTTTGTAATTTTGGTCTTTTCCTTCCTCACATAGTGGTTAAAAAAGGCCACCAGCCCAGTGATGCTACAAACTGTTTTGTACGCAAATGGCTTCCTATGATCTACTGATAAAAAGATAATAGGAGGTAGAGAAAGAAAAGTGATTGACACTAAAACATGATATCCATGAACTCAAAACCAATTAGTTATATATATATATATATATATATATATATATATATATATATATATATATATATATATATATATATATATATATATATATATATATATATATATATATATATATATATATATATATATATATATATATAAAACCTCCAAGCTTTAATATTGACATAAAAGTTTGAAAAAGAAATTTATAATTCAGGCAAGGACTAAAAGGAAGTAAATCTACTCCTTGGTGCATTCGTTGAGTTATAGTTAAACCTCACTGTGTGCTTTATGTATAGATAAAATAAACAAAATTTTGAAGGTGAATATGCTCTGATGGAAAAATCTGTGGCATTCAAACACACCTAGGGCTGAGGTTGGAAGGGTCTAGGGTAGTTGCTGTAACTTCCTGTTGTTTTTTTTTCTGAGACCGACCCGTGCAGTGGGTGATGGTCTTATGGCGGGATGGCCGGAGAGGAGACCTCCCAACGGCGTCCTTTAGGTTCTCGGCTCGATGGTGCTCGGTCAGAAGAGAAACAGACTCAGTGTTGTCAGGTTCCTCCTCGTCTGTACCCCCTTCGGGTCCTTCCTGGGCCTCACTAACTGTGGGTCGACCTTGGACCACACGCCCATTTCTTCTTCCCCCAGTCTGGAACAAAAATAAAAGAATGGTAAGTTTGCAGTTAGGGCTGGGAGATATTCTTCACAGGAAGGAATACAATTACTATGAGGTCAATGTCTGAAACAGGTAAATGGGTTTTCTTATAAAATACCTCAGCAGCTTCACTGCATAAAAAATATAGCTCTATAGTCTTTCTGCAGCTAATGACTGGAACAAATTCACAAATAATTTATAGCTTTCTAATATCCACTTTCCCATGACAAGTATAATAAAAGGACGCTTGCTGTAAAAATTGTGAGTGAAGGAAGATTCCTGCCGAGAGAAACCCAACAGAAATCTTTGGAGAAGGACCTGCCAGACAAATCCTTTTGAATTATTCAAACCTTTAGTTTTAGCTTAGCCAGAGTTTTGCAGAATTGTTAATACCTCTTTAACATTTTTATCTATTATTTTTTTTACAACCACCAACATCAATAAATCTACAGGGAGCTGTGGGATAGAAAAGCATAAAGTAGAGGATCTGTGAAGTTGAAAGATGATGATATATTATAATATTTAAATATTTTTCTAGAAAAAAAAGAGTCAGAAAAACCCCCCCACTTTTATCAGCTTTGCACATCTGGAGTCTGAAAATTTAGCTCAATCCTCCTTGGATAATAGCTTATGTTCAGTCAAAGGGAAACACTCTTAATTGAATATAGCTCTGAACTTTGTGCCATTCTGACTCACAAATATTCCGAGATCTTAGCTTTCGATTGTAGGCTTGGCTGTTTGTCTAGTGATGTTGTCATGCAAGGAATGAAATCTCATCCCCAGTTCACATTTTGAACCATTTTTCTTCAAGGACTCCCCTGTGTTAATTCAAAGGTTGGCATGATTAATGGTGCATTCTATTTGTCTTCGGAAGTTTACAACTTACAAATCGTGAATTTAAACTATAATGCCCCTAAAGGCAGAATTACGAGTCAAAAAGTTTGTGGTACCTGACTTCAAGACTACTTGCATTGTAATTTGCTACTTTGGCTGTTTGATGGCTCTTTGACAATTCTTGTAATGATGGATCATGTATTTTATATGTTATTCTGTGTATATACACAGAATAAGACCCAGAGCGGTGTTTTTGTCATTGGTATGCTGTAAACAGTGGCCAAAGTCCCAATGGAGAATTACTAGGGTCTGCAGACTAAAAACTGGAATGGTTATACCTCAGGGAAAATGTCACTCCAACTTATTAGGTTTGAATTCAGAGAATAATAAAAGGTAGCTGTTGAGGGTAAAATGTTAATGAAATTAGAGGGAAGTCACATCGCTTCGACAGAGATTACTTAAGCAGCAGACACCCACTCTGCGCTTACCTCCCTGTGGCTCTTTGGCATCGATAGAGTGCTTTAAACTACATTCAAGATGGCATCGATAGGGAGGACTTGATTCATTGATTGATTGACTTTATCGATCTCACAGTACTTGATACATCATCCCAAATAGTCAAATGAGTAGGATCACTATACGGGGTTATTGCACAGGGTGTTTACATGGATATTTATATAGATGGGTACCGTAAATTCTCTAATATAGGCCCGGGCCTTTATTTCACTCAAGTGCATCGAGGTCCAGGCCTTTATTGGATAGAGGCCAGAATTAGAGACAGGCCTCTATTGCTATTTGAGCAAAACAGACTACCAGTGGAATGAATAAAAATGAGATTTTGTGTCTTTTTGAACCTATAAAACACTAGGTTCATTTATTGAAAAAGTACAGTTACCATGTCTCGCTTGGTTTGAAGTAAAAAAAAAAAAAAATCCTCCAATTCTGTTTAATTCTCCTCCTCAGTTTTTCTCCTCCTCTTCATCTCTCCCTTTAATCTCCTCATCACTCGCGCTCCTCCTGTTCTGCTGCGTGTCTGTTCTCTTCCTCGCGCAGACGGGCAGCAGTCAGGGCCTGTCGTCCAGCTGCGCAGGGCTGTGGTACTTGTATGTTACTTACTACCACAAGTATAATGTTGAGGTATGCCCAGAAAAAACGTTTATAGCCCCGGCCTGTATTAGAGACCGGCCATTATTTACCTCCTCTGACAGCGAGACCGGCCATTATTAGAGACCCGGCCGCTATTGGAATACAGGCCAATATTAGGGAATTTACGGTATTTATATTCATATATGTATATATAGTAATTGCACTGGGTATCAGATATAGAGACACAGGTTTTTTCACAGGGTATCAAATAGTAACTGCACATTATACATTGCACAAGTTATTGCTGAGACATTGGGGTCAGCTGAGGCAACGTCCATGGCAGCCAAATCTATGCTTGTTAGACCGAGTGGGACTGCACACTGCCTGCTATTCAGAAAGAACTGAACGTATTGTCTTGTTTTTCCAGCATTTTAAGCCTAGTTGAACGCAGTGTTTTGTGAACCCGTCTGCTGAACCAGATGAGAAGACTACCCAGGTCTGTTCAGTCCACGGAACAGCCAGGCCCACTTGCTGTTGTGGTGAGGAGCCACTAGGAGCCACTGAACCATGCCACACTGGTCCTGCCGCTACCTTGAACTGTGAAACCGCCAGTCCTTGATGCATTGGTTTGGCTACTGTTTAGAGCTGTGGTGAGCTGCTATAGCTGCTATAAGCTATCTGACACCTTAAGAGGAAGCCCTGGCCAAGGCTACTCTACTTGTTGGATGAACTGTTCCTGAACCGAACAAGTGGGGCTCTGGGATTGAACCAAAACCCCTGTCCATCCACTCCACTGAGCCAACTAATAAACCCCCTTTCCCCTCTTTTCATCTGATGCTTAATGATACTCTGTTTGGGTGAGCGATAGGTAGAATAGATATTTTTTTACATGCGTTCTTTGTTTTTTGTTTTGAAAGAACAACTGTTGATGGTGAATGCTAATGCTCAATGAGCCTGACTGAACAGTCTAAGCTGTGTGTTACCATCTGCTTGATTTCCTTTTTTAAAATTTGTTTGAATTACAAGTCCATGATTAAGGCCTCTATGGTTGGACTGGCTTGCATCGTTAGCTCCAAGCAACTCATTGCTATGGAAGCAGCCATTTTGTGAGTTCTCTAACCTTTTTGTTTTAGCTGCCCTGCCCCGGAGCTGGATGTCCTGTGCCAGCCGAACTAACCCTTTCTGTCCAACATCACAATGTTTTAATGTATTTCTGAGTCCTTGTTCAGTTTTCAGTGATTGAAAGACTTAATGCGTATGCAGTAGGGTTATTCACATTTATCTGATGGTATTTTTAAAAGAAAACTTGAATGCAATGAGCCTAAAAACTTGAATGTCCCTTAGAGACTCTTGAGCAGTCTCTTAACTCCCCTTTTGTTTGGTTTTATTTACTTGTTCTTATTTTTAGTAGTGCTAAGTGTATGTGTATGTATTAGATACAGTAATACTTTGATATGGATTATTAACTAATATAGGTCCCATTGTGTCTTAACCTGTGATCTTTTGTGGTTATTTTATGCAGTGAACAATTTATCACTCTGGCCAGATCCATCCTCCTTTGGTTAACATTTCAATGTACAGAGACAATTTCTTTGGTTGGTGATTAATAACTCTGCTGATAGCTATAGTAAATTACTAAATTGGTGAAAGCACCTGGATTCTAACAGCCAATCCAGAAGTCCAAGACTAAGAACCCTGGTGAGTAAGCAAATTAGAGTTATAATCATTTCACTTCAAATCATTAATTGGTTTTAGACTCGTTTTCGCTGACCTATTATTTAGCTATAAATTCCAGTTCTAGTTATTTAATATATTCCCAATCCTCTGGTAAAACTGCACAACACAGCATTAGTTCCAAACCAAGCCCCACCCTCCCCTAAACCTTAAGGCCTGTTAACCCCTTCTATTTTCTTTTTGTGGTTACGTAAAAAAAGGTTGATGGGTGATTGATAGAGTAGAATATTCTTTTGGTTCACATGCTCAAGATATTCACATGATTAAATGTATATAAAAAATGCTGGAAAGAAGAAATACTGCAATCTCAAAAAACATAGAGCAGCAAAGAGCAAACATGATGCAAATACATAAATTATGCTAATACACAAAACAAATGCAAAGAGAGAATATGATGCAAGTAGCACAAGATAAGAGCACAAGATAAGAAAAGTGACTTACTAGCTCCACATAATGGGAGTGCTCTAGACTGCTAGGGGAGGACGATTGTTAGCACAAATTCGACCAGACCATAACAGATGCAGCAATGCATGGCTATGAAACCAGAGCTATGAGACCAGAGAACATTTGGAGAGAAGAAACAAAAGTTGGATATTTTTTAAAACACTTAACCTCCCTGACCAACCCTTTTTAGTCTTTACTGACACTCTGGTCCCATATGTGTCTATAGTCGTCTCCTCCTCGTGGTCTGGAGCACTTCCATTTATGCCACACCTGCTTTTTAGTTCCCTTCACTGGCAGCTGGTTTTGCTACCTAAAGCATTTTCCCTTTGCATGTGTTTTGTGTATTTGAGTGTTAGCATGATGCTTTTGCAGTGGGTTTGGTCTTTCCAGTGTTTTCTCTTTGCATCTCTTCATTTTCTTTGGTTACAGCCTTTCTTCTTTTCCTTGAAATTACTTTTGTGTGGTTAGGTTTTTATTTTTGTTTTCACAAGTCTAAATCTTTAATTTGCTAGTTTAATTTCTGCTTCGGCAGGACTTTTTCAACTTGCTTTGACTTTATGCATTGGCACAGTATTTGCAGCACTCAGTCACCATAATGCTTAGAGTTTATGTTCCATTCCTTCTACCTGAGAAAGTAAGCTGTGTACTGATGTGTAGTGATGTTGCATCATCATTTCTAAATTATCTTTTTTTTTTACTCATGATGCAACATTCTTTACAAAATGTTTGACATTTTATATCATTAATTATAAATACAGTAAATATGTAATTACTCTTATGCACAACCAATAATTAAAGAGAGTACTCTCGCTTTTCTTGTTATATAGAAAAAATATACAATTTCCTTTTCATGTAAACTTAACTGGAGTGTGAGGGCTTGTTATTATCTTTTATGTTTTCATGGTTTTATGCTCACTACTCTGCAGGAGGAAACACCATAGTTTGGATACAGTGACTTTCTCCCAGCTTGGATCCTTATACAACTTCTATTTAATATATATTATTACATTGACTGTCATATATTTAGACAGTCAAGATATTAATTCCCTGCACCTGCAGATTGACACTAAAAAGCAACATTTTGACAAAAAATATTTTTGTTTTTTTTTGTATTGTAGATATTGTATTGTATTGTATTGAGATTTAACTGGCTATTATTACAATTTAAAAAAAGTATGTGTGTTAATCTACTCCATCCACTATAGAAAAGTTGAAGTGTTATAATCTTTGCAGGGCATTGTAAATAATGAGCTGGTACCTGAGACTCCTCTCCTGCTGTTGACAGTCAGGTAATAAATGCTCAGTGGATCCAGCAAACAACATGTTGGTTTTGTATCACAGCTTCTCTTTCTGCGGGAGCAATTTCGAAGGGATCTTTGCTCAGTTATTTTCCAAACTGTGTAGAGGAACGTAACAAATAACTGTGCCGCTTACACTGAGGTGCTGCAGGAAATGTATTCCCTACGATATCCTGGTGCTACTATGTAATAGCCGAAAGAGCTAAGTGAACAGCACCACTGAAACAGTCCTGTATCCTCAGGTGCCTCCACCTATCTTCATTTACTGAGTGCTGAGATTTAGGCTGTCCCTCTGCAGATGAGCTGCACCTAAAAGCCCTGCAGCATGTATTGCCAGTGTGTGTATTTGCGTGTACACAGGATTTGTGTTTGTGCAACAGAATATAACACCTGAGAGTAATTACCAAAACACAGCAGCAGAGCAGGGCCAACTATCTCAGCTATTTTTTGGCCTCTTTCTACAAAATCTTAAGACACTGCCCTATATTTTCTCCATTAGGCTCAGCTAATAACCCAAACAATGATCTCTCACACTTGTTGTGCCTAAGCTGAACTTAGAAAACCAATTAGTTCACATGGAAAATTGAACTTTAAAATGAGAATCATAAAAGAAGTACAGACACACACATGCACACCCACCAGTCATTACTATTAGAAACCCACAAGACCAAATATTTTACCCTACCACAAAGTCAATTCTTTACATTTATCATTGGAAATAATTATAGTTCCAACATTTTACTGTGGTTTGCAACATGGGCTTCAAATGGGTAAATTGACTTTTAATCGGAAAAATAGATTGTAATAAATTGCGGTTTCCTTGTGAGAAGGTATATGTGGGCAAAACTACTTTGACAAAGGATATAAAGATCACATAGAAACCGTTTAAAAAAATCTGATTTAGTTTTAACTATTTTATTAGCAGCAGAGACAACATAAACAAATCCTCATGCATCTTGGAAGTGCCTCTGGTACGTTTATTAATCAACTCCCTACTGGTTGGATGTACTCACGTGTATCTCATGTCCTTCTCTCAGATTGTAGGTGAGGTCCCGCTGGATGTCCTGGACAAAATGGTGAGAGTATTCAGGGTAGAGGTCCAACACCTCATAGAGCCCCTTCAGGTTGATACACTGCAGGTCACAGTAGGTCAGGGCTTTCACATCTGCGTTGGTTTTTATGACGCGGTTGTCTAATGACAAGTTCGCTCCAATCAGGTCACCCTTACCTGCTCAGAGAGAGACATGATAAGAGGGTTAGCTATGGGGGCCACTTCAAAATGTTTTCACTCTAATAAAAGGGTTTCAAGATGCAGGCTGTGTAGCACTAATGCAAACATGTATGATACCTATCTTTCATTCTTAAATTTACTTTAAAGGAAATAATTTGGTTGAAAGAAGTTGGCACTGATGATAAGGCATGATGTGGGCCATTTTTTAATGATTCAAATGGGAACCTTATACCACTATGAAGCATGATCTGGTATTTTTGGGACTTCTTCACAAGCATTACAAGTCCATCATTCATGTAAAGAAATATAAATGCTCTCTTGGGACATTTTTGGACCTGTAAGTTACCATAAATTGACATTGTGTATATATATATATATATATATATATATATATATATATATATATATATATATATATATATATATATATATATATATATATATATATATATATATATATAATTTTTTATATATATATTTTTTATGTGGCCTATCCCAGACCCTTACCCTTACCCTAGCTATTACCAGCATATACATAACCCTAAGGAAAACTGAATTCAAAGCTTAGTCCTAAACCTAACCCCTACTCAAAGAAGAGAACCTTACCATAAAGAGACCAGTTGAATATCCCCATATGTACCTATAAGTACCCACAGTGTAGCATATTAATTCCGAACCCTAAAGTTTATTCACTTCATACCTCTAAACCAGGGGTCAACAACATTTTTAAGGCTGAGGGCCACTTCAAAGGCACTGAGTCATAGGAAGGGTTACCAATGAACTGCAAGGGTCAGCCTTCAACTAAACTTCATACATTATAAACATATTTTTATTGTTTCTTTTCATTTCTATTTTTATTTTAGACATTGTCATCTCGAAATACTCTATAAATGATTAGAAAAGAAGAGCACTAGCTAGTTGTTCTATGTTCAGAAGACTCTGAGGACACCCCATGTGGTCCTTGAAGGCCCTTTGGTGCCTGTGGGCACCACTTTGGTGACCCCTGCTCTAAACTGACTTTCTAAGGTTAAAATGGGAGACTGCCGTTTTTTTCTGTAAATAATGGAACCCTTGGCTTTTGTTTAAGTATAATTTCAGATTAAAATATAACAAAAATGCTCTGGTTATGATGTGTTGTGGTAGAGGAGTGGAGCATAATGTAATTTACTGACGTGAAGAATAAAAACAGATCTATCATCCATCCATCCATCCATCCATCCATCCATCCATCCATCCATCCATCCATCCATCCATCCATCCATCCATCCATCCATCCATCCATCCATCCATCCATCAATCCATCCATCCATCCATCCATCCATCCATGCATTTGACAGAACAGATCCTGAAAACAACAGAAAACCAATAGAAAACATTGAGGTTTCCTTATATTGTAAAATGACAGAAGGGGGAAACTGACAAAAAATAGCAGAAAAATATGTTTTGAATATTAAGTATAAAATGATCAGGATAAATAGGATTCCCCTTTTTTGCATAGATTGTCAGTATATCTTTAATTCCATAAACCAGCAAAATTAAACACTACAGCAGTATATGCCTTTCATGTTTTATTAATAATGATTACATTTTGGTTGTTATTTACATGCCAGTTTATGAAGAATTTGAAACCTTTAATTATTTTCTACTTCAACTGGAGCAGATACATATAAAGCCATTATCATTTTAAATTACTTGTTTTTAATGTTTACCAAATATTTTTAAACCATTTTCTATATTTGTAAAGTAAATGAATCCATGATACTTTAATGAAATGGTAAAGTTCGGGTAAAATGGCAGTGACAGCTGTTTCTAATGAAATGGGCTGAAGCCGAGCTCCCCGTCGCTGGTAATGTCCCAGTGAAAGTCATAAATGATTCATTAGGGTCATTGCGAACTATGAGGGCTGTTAAATTACAGCGCAGCTGAAGGAGCGAAAGTCGTGACTGTTCTTGTTTCAGTCCGCTCTGTCTCTCTGCCTGTCTGTCAGATCGTTTATTGTTGTATTACTTCATTCATTCCTCTTTTCCCTTCATCATTTTTATAGCCTCTTCCTTAACTTCACTGATCAATTTTTCAATTTCTTCCTTCTGTTTGATACTCAGTCTTCTTGTTCTTACATCTATTCCACCTTTTTTTCATATAACTTTTTACCTTCTTCCTTCACTTGACATCTTTGTCAGCCATCAACACTTTCCTGGTTTCTTATTTCTAGAATATTTCCTGACCTCTATTCTTTATCTCTTTAAAATCTATGTTTTAATCTTTTCTGACCAACATTTGGCAATTCAGCATTATCCTTCAGTAAATACATTTTAGTGTTGTGTTCCTTCCTTCCTTCCTTCCTTCCTTCCTTCCTTCCTTCCTTCCTTCCTTCCTTCCTTCCTTCCTTCCTTCCTTCCTTCCTTCCTTCCTTCCTTCCTTCCTTCCTTCCTTCCTTCCTTCCTTCCTTCCTTCCTTCTAATCCCTTTTGTCTGACCCATTTTTGAAAGACAATCTGCAACACTTTTTTCCCTTTTCATGAATCTCATCTGCTCTTCACTTTTTTTTTTGCTTATCACCATAATTTCACCTGTCCCTTACTCTGCCTCTTTCTCGGCCTGCAGATCAGCTTTGTCCTTCACTGAAAACACTCAATGTCACTCGTACCTTCTGCACAGTTAACAAACAATGCTCTCTGCCTTTAAACCCTCCCACACATCTCCATTCGCCCAATCAAATGCAAACATGGAGATACAACTGCAACAATTTTGTGGAATGTTAAACAAATCCACGTACAGGATTCAGACAAATATCCTAAAACAAGAAGATTTTTTTTACCTTATGGTATTGAAAAATTCAGGTACTGCAAGTAATGCATGGAAAGTACATAAAGTGACAACAAATACTGTAATAGGTGGGGATGATGGAAGTTTAACATGCTGATTTATATGCAAACTGTTACCACATAGTGTTGTATAGCTCTGGTTGAAATTTCAGAAAGCAAAAAGCTGTAACTGAGAGTTTGTACAATAAGGCAAATTATAGTTGTTTGGGATCAGGTTCTTCTTTTTTCTAGATTTATCATACCACAGACAAAGGCAGCTAAAGAATGGATCAATTGGAAAACGTGGATGTAAGTTCCAAGGTCTTTTTCAGATGAATTCAATGTATTTAGGCTTTTTTGCATGTTTTTTGTTTCATAAGTTAATTTTTTCTTTCTTTCTTAAACCAAATTGTGATAGTTAGTGTTAGAAACATATATTGTGTATTTCATCTTTGGCTGGGTGTTTAATTTTGCTGATAAAAAAGATTTCTTACTTCTTAGGTCCGTTTTTTTCACAATTGTGATTCCACTTTGATTATTTTTTTTTATTAATTAATCATCCCTGTGAAACTGCTAAGGATGTCTTTTTTTCAATTGGGGATGTTTTTCCATACTTTTTGCATTTTGGTTAAACCCCTCATATAAAAAACAAATATTTTATTTCAAGATTGCTAGAAGTGGAGATTCAAAGTGTCTTTTCTTGAGGCTTTTTTTTTTTTTCTTGTTTGATGATACACATTTTTCTCAGTCTAGCCCCAGAAAATATTCTATAAATAACATATAATCCAAAGTATTTTCTTTTCTATGTGGGTGAATAATCCTAATCTGATTAGTAACAATACTCTGGTACAATTTTTATTGTCTTTGGAAATTGGGTTAATTTTATTTCTAAAGGATGAGCAGAAAATATACCGAAATCAAAGCTTATCATAAATCCATGAGCTAGGACCCTCCTTATAATTACTGTGAGAGATTTTTTTCTTCTTACATTTTCATTTTAACCTACCTAGGATGGCTAACACCATTTCGTCTTTCAGCACTTCCATGGACCCTGAGCAGACAAAGAAGATGGCCTGGAGAGCATCGCCCTGTCGGAGGAGGTATTCCCCTGGGGTGCAAAAGGATGTCTTAATGTGCAGTGACAGCGAGCGCAGGCAGCCGCGACTGGCAGAGGCAAACAATGACAGTTCCAGGATCTCCTTGTTAAGATGCATGGTGATGTCAGACCGCAGCTCATCTGGAAAGTCTTTTAGCAGCTGTGGAGATGACGGGTTGCAGAACAGCAAAGTAGGAGAAAATAAGAATCCAAAACAATAGAAAGGAGGAAAGAAAGTGTGACAGCTGCGAAAACACTATTAGACAACTTGGTAATTGAATATTTAACCTTTGCTTTTTAGGATCCCTAACTTTGATTTATAAAGCTCCTTAACACACAATGTTGAGTTACCCTATCCAAGAGCAGCCATAAAATGGCATTACATCTATAAACGATTGTCTCATCAGGGAGAGAAATCTGTAGCTCCCAGCTACATAGATTTCTTCAATGAGTCATCAGAGCCAGACTTACTTTAATCAACAGGCCCATCTATAATTCATCTGTCTGGGATTCATCAGTATCCCTCCTTCCAAGCTCTGGTCAGGATCCTGACAGCTGTCTTGCAGGCCTACACAGCCCCGGAGGGACGAGTTACTGCGAGACAACTGACAGGTATCCCTAAGCTAGTCAAGTAAAGGTGTCATTTAAAGCTTATGTGGAGGAATTTCCTGTAAAAGGCTACACTTGCTAACTTTTGTTTTCATATAAAAATGATACATGACTCATTTGTATTTTTTAATTGTAATGAAAAACTGCTCTGTATAGAGCCAAGCTGGGTTCTAAATAAAACCATTGCCGATGGATAACTATGCATGCTAAAACATCCTCCTTCCTCTATTAAAGTATCGATCATATAACATTTTTAATGCATTTTAATGCAACTTAGATGTGAGAATCAAATGAATGATCTGGTGGAATATTGATCCTAATATGTTATGCAACTTTTATCTAGGAAGAAGTCTGGAGATATTTGGGTAGAGAAGGTTTTGTCTTTAAGTCTTTTTCCAGACTCATTTGTTTTTTGACGAGGGAAGAGATTTTCTATTTACATGTTTATTTAGAAAAGGGGGTGAAATTGTTCCTCTTGCTATTTTAACATAGCAGCAATTGGTTTACCGGTAAACTACAGCATGCCTATTTTTTTCTTCAAAAAACAGTATCTTAATTTTCCCATTAAGGCTAAATGAAATTAAGATTTTGTTTCTTCTAAAACTAGGAGAGAATTTCAGTAAGACTTCAACTTATTTGCAATAAAAATACAGCTGATGAGAATTAGAACATCTGTCCAACTTATTTTTCTACCCTTCTTACCTTTTAGGAGAATAATTGCATACATTTTAAAGAAAAAAGAAAAATAAATAGTTCATGATTTAAATTAAAATGAAACACGTTTTAGAGGATTTTATTTTAGAACATACATGTAAGGTAGTTGGCCCTAAATTATGAGTTTAATCTATTTCCGCATGGCAGTAATCAGTCAAGGGCAGCAGTTCTCCTCGGCTCCACAAATGACAGAAAACGATATACCTGAAATAAACTCAGAAAGAAACTCAGATGGACATAAATATTAAAGGAAGAAACATTAAAGTTATATGTGTATCCATTGGTCATAAAATGTACTTTAAATCTTTTTTTTGAAGAATTGAAAAAAAAACAAGGTTGCTTTTTTCTCTGTTCTTTCAGTGTTTAACCACCTTAAGCACTGATCAAAAAGGTGAGAGTAAGAATAAAAAATATTTTTATGCACTTCTCTCTAGAATAGTCTTGCTCACGCAAATGCCTCCTGTGACAGAAAGCAGTACTACAAAAGTAAACCCTACTTCATCATGAGTGTTGATTATTTCAACCCTTCTCTATTTAATACGTATCACCATATCTGTTTACAAATTAAAAAATAAAATTTTTACAGACTATTTTAGCTGTTTATGTAGATCTTTAAGTATTTTTTTTCTTTGAAGCATTGGGTCTGTCAAATGCACTTTATAAATTAGCCATAGTAAATTCAGTTATTTTTGCTTACCTTTTTGTTTAAAACATTTTATGAGCTGAAAACCTCAGAAAACCTTTTTACCTGATGATAACTTTTGAAAATATAAGCTATAGAGGAGAGATAAATAGATGAGAGTCAAATGAAAAAAATATATACTTTTACTTTTACATTTTAGGTTTCTGAAAACACACAGGAAAAAAAAATACATATCTTAAAATCTGTCGCAACTTTGTCTTCAGAGTGAATTCCTGTAGTTTCTGATAAACTGATAAACGCTTTGCAGCAGACTTTATTTTCTTTTGTTGCATCTCCTGACCTTGAATTATGTTTTGGCAGCTCGTATGATTACAAACCAGTACATGAACTTAGCTACTGCAAAATATTCAGAAAAAGGATCTGTCTTTTTTTAAATAAGTGTTCCACGTTTTATGGTTTTTATAAAAAAAAAAAAAAAAAAAAGAAAAACACAACAAATGTATCAGATTAAGTAAGAGGAATATTTAAATATTTCCTTTATAGGCAGTAAAACAAAAAGAAAAAAAAAACATGAGAAAAACTACAGATTCTGAACCTTTGCTTTGTTGGTGAAAAATCAAATACTTCTGCTAAAATACACAAATAAGTAAAACCATTTGTGCTTTGTACCTCATTGCAGTCAATTCCATTATTGACAGACCAGGTTGTCTGAAAGTATTCAAGCATTCTCTGCTTAAGGCTCTGTGGCAGATGATGGACACGTATGAAATCCTTGAGGTCTTTGGTCCTGGTGTGGTACTGGGACCAGCGAGAGTACATCCTCTGGATAATGGCTGTCACATTGCCAAAGACCAAAGCATGCATCAGTGCTGCGAGTAAGAGGAGAAAGAAAAGAGGATGATGAGAAGCTAGACAGGAAGCAGATAGTGGAGAACATGAATGATTAAAACATCAGCAAAATGTCGTTTAAATAGGAAAAAAATATTTCAATTTTAGCCATTTGAGGGAAATATGGTGAACAACAGATAGAGCTTCTAGCAACAACTTAAAATCTCTAGTTTAATATCTAAAAAAAGCTCTGGTTAACCAAAAAAGCTAAAAAAACAATCTGGACTTTGTTTCCAAGTTTGAAGAAGTTTCGCTTCCCATCCAGGAAGCTTATTCAGTTCAATATGTCAGAAATAGCGTTGAGTTCGAGGCTTTATGGAGTGGACCAAAAACAAAGCCTTGTTTTGGCTTAGAAAACATGCAAATTGAACCGTATGAACGGCTCCTCCCCTTAAAAATGGGCAGTCGTTTGGGTTCTTTGTTAGCCTGCAATATTGATACTTGTCTATGTCTCTGAAAGGGGTAGTTAGGGGCAACAAGGCCAACAATTTCCCCTAACAACCCATCTTCAAACTATGAAACAAAGTCCAGTGGATTGTTTTCTAACTTTTTTTGAATGACTATGACTTGGATGACTGAGAATCTTCACCAGCTATGATTAACACTGTCTGCACAACTATTTGCTCCCTTACAGATTTCTGCCATATCTGCACTTAGTGTTAGGGTTATGTCAGATTTTAATGTCAGATTAGAATAACTTCAGCAAATATAAGAAGCAGTTTTCAAATAATGATTTGATTTAATAGGTGGGATAAAGATAGCCAGCTTGAGAAATGTAAAAGAGAAAATTGTTCTCAAAACCTGTTAAATCACTTTTAAAGAGGTTTGGCAAGTTGCAGTGTGGAGATTTGTTTTTGTTTATTGAGTATAAATATCCATTTTAAGTAAGAAAATTGACTAAGCCATTCCAAAAACCTGGATATTGTTTTTCCTTTGCTGTCCAGAAGTGTACCAGGTATGCTTCAGATCATTTTCCTGCTACTTCAGGATGATTTGAATTATTCATGGTCCTATCAGATATAGTAGGCTGTCTTAGTCCCGCAGCAGCAAAGCAGAGCCGTAGCATTACACTACCCTCACCCACTATGTGTTGTCATTGTTGTTTATTTTTTCTATTTATTATTTTTGAAATTATGTTAGTTCTATTATAGATAAAACAGGAAATGGTTATTTTGGAAAGTCCCCTGTTTGTTTTAAAGTCTGCGTTGTTTTGGTTGGGTTCCATTTGGATGGCATTGCTTTTCTTCTTGATTCTTTCCCATAAATGTCACCTTTCCCTGTTCTGTTTCTTACTGTCGAATTATGCATATCATCCTTAACTGAGGCATCCAAGACCTTGAGTGCTTTAGATGTTGTTCTGGGTTGTTCTGTGACCTCCTTGATGTTCTCTGTGAGTAATTTTGGCCAGAACTTGATGATTCACTTTTTCTACATGTCTTTTTCTCCAATTGTGCATTAAGTTACGTTTAAAGACTTTGAAAAAAAAAAAAAAAAAAACTTTGTAGTTCTTTGCAAATGGACAGATGTATGTTACTTTGTGTTCTCATTGGTTGGTATTTTTCTTTAGAAATGGGGACATGTGTTGCTTTTTTGAGATGAAATAGCCTACTTCATGCTCTTAGATTCTATTTGAATGATTTCTTCTTTCTTCTTACTTGATAAGAGTAAGACCTCGGTGTGGCAAGTGAAATTGTACACAGTGTTTACATGATAGTCAACTCTCAATTTAACAAGTGATACATTTACACACAGGCTAGGTTGGTTGAACTAATTAACATAATAACAAAGTGCATGTTTTAATTCTTGATAAATCTATTCGGGGCATATTTTACTGACATATGTTTTTCAATCTGTAACATATTTCTTTTTGAAGAAGAAGAATCTGTATAGGCCTACATTAAGTTTTCATAGCACTATAAATGCATTGCAGAAAAGATCAGTATGAGTTTATGTGGAACAACTGAACATCAATAGGTGACTTGTAAACTCTCATATTTCATGTATTTAACTTTATTTTTATGATAAAACCAAATGAGAGAAAAGCTAAATATTCCGTTAACGTTTATATGTTACATACAGGATGTCAGCAAAACTGCGACTTTATTTGATTGTATAGATAGAATGCTTCCCTTTCAACACCTACAGGTGATCCATTCTCCTGATTGAGCCAAAAGCTGGACATTATTTTATTACTAGTTATCTTTTGTTTTCTTGTTCCTCTAAAACTGACAAGTGCGGACAATAAACGGTTTTCTGCCATTTTAATTTGTACTTCCAAGATTTATTCACACTAGCTCTTTGTAGTTTGTTTTCATGATCCTAATATGGTCCTGATCAATATATCTTTTATAGTTTTCTGATATTGTAACATTTTTCTTATTACTTTAATTGTTCTTCAGGTAAAATGAAAAGCCCAGTAATGTATTGCTTTTACAGATTTTTTGAATTTATAGTTGTTGTTAAATCCACTTAAATCCAGACCAAAGGATGTTTTGCCCCAATTTCTTTGGTCAAATAAATACAAAACACTAAGCATTGTCTGTTACAACACACTAAAATAAGTTTGTTATTAACAGTATGAAAACAGGCCTAGCATAAAAGACCAGCTGAAAACTAATGCACATCTCCAATTTCTATGTCAGAAGCTTCTTTAAACATTTTTCATAGGGTGAAGTCCAAACCGCAGTAAAAAGCGCTGAAAGTTTAAAGAAAAACCAAGAAACAGTCTGGGGAAAGAATGTCAACCCGAATAGACTTTAAAAGTCTTTGCGGCAAAGTATAAAGGAATTAAGTGTTAAAATTATAGACTAAAACTTTCATAATGACAAATATTATTTTGTAATGCTTCTGTTTCTTTTTGTATCTTGTAGGGATTTTGGTGTCAGATTATATACTTCGCTGACTCTTTGTTTAGTATAATAGATATGTTGGTTTGGACTTTGGTTAATTTTCCACATTCACGCAGCAATTCAAACAAATCCTTTTACCATAGCAATTTTTTTTATTTGGGGTAAAAAAAATGTAAGTTTATATATCCAGTATGGTTGAATCTTAGAAATATATGTATTTCTTATTATCATTTATTTATTTACCCTGATGTTGTGCCTTTGTATTCTTCCTTCCTTTGATTTTGCAGCCCTGTGATTAGAATATTGTAAATTAATTAATTTCTCATTGTTTCCATGTTTGTTTTCTTTTTTTTTTTTTGCTAAAGCTTAAAGCTAAAATCTTCAAATCCTAAAAGTACTTTACTGTAATACTACTGTACTACCATAGAAGATTGGCTCTCCTGAAGTCTGACAACTTCCGACCCTAAGCAATTAACAATAATTCTGACCAATGTCATATAACACAATTCTGAACAGTAATCTATGAGTATATTATATGAAACTTTTTGAATGCCCCAGCTGAGGCCATTCAAAAATGGGTATTAAACATGCCAAAGGCTAATATGAACTGACAGCATAAAACTCCCTTCTCAGAGGACCATTTTAAATAACTAATAAGTCAGATACTAAAAAGCAACAAGCATAAAACATTGAAATTGTGAAAATGACAAAATAAACCTGAGTTTTCTGTTCTTTTATCTTAAATTGATCACTTTGTGCATTTCCTCCTTCCCTGCAACCTCTCTGGGATGCTTATCATTTTTAACCTTCCAGTTTGTTTTCCCCTGAGTGCTTCCAGTTCTTCCTGTTCCTCTTAACCGTTTTCCTGAAGTCAATTAGTCCAATGTGGTTCAGATCCAAGTAACCACTCCTGCCTCCATTGCTATTGCTGTACCAGTTAGTCTCTTAGTTGCACTTAGTTTTTTACTTTTTTAACCCTTGAGGTTGGTTTTCTTTAACATCACCCTTCCTGTCCTTTGGGTCCTACTTCACTACTACTGCTGACATAAAAATCACCATTTTAAAATCCTTGCTAAAAAAGAAGACAGGTTGTTTTGTCTAGCTTGTCTAGTAGGACTTTGTCCTGGAATATTGTTTAGAACAACTTATATAGTGTTTTTTAATACATATTTTCTTGATTCCATGATGTATTGAGATGGTGTTATTCATTAGGTTCTTTGTTTTTCATATTATTAAAATGCCACCTGATAGAGTAACTCTCAGTTTTGTTTTTCCTACAATAAATTTGAACCGGTGATTCAGATTAGTTTTCATTCCACAGCGCCCCATCAAAAATGACATGCATGTGAGCAAACGTGGACGTGATGTGTGTCTGTGGCTTCTCCTGCTACTGTCCTCAGGCAGCTGGGGACATTTAGCATTTAGCAGAAAGAGAGAGAAGGGAGCATCCACCGGGAAAACTTTGCACAAGTGACTTCTGCTCAATGCCAGAAACCAAATATACTCAGTCTGGTTTAAACCAGTTCAGGCCATCCTGCAAAGTTTTACACTGAATTGTACTCTAATGGAACAGAAAAACTGCCGGAAAAAAGAGAGAAAAAAATCCAATAATGTGCTATTGAAATTTTAACTAGGACAAGATGAATTAGTCTTATTAGCTTGGTTTCATCCATTACTCTTCACGATGAAGTCTCATTCTGGAATTACATGTTGAAGACATAATGAAGGAGTCATTTCCACAAGACATGGATTTTTACATATAATGTGTCACAAAAGTTTCCCCACGACCTTGAACTTTTTTTATATTTTGTTACATAGAAATTTATTTTAGTTATTTCTTTTTATTGGAATTTTATGTGACCAAAACCTAGAAATCGGCACTTTGAATCAGCATCAGTTAGATGTGTGTACATATACAATGAATTTGACTTTGGATCATAAATTTTTCACGGTACAGTATGCCTATACAATACAATAACACACTAATACAGCAATGAATAAATTAGCACCAGGCCTTTATAATGATGGGTTCAGTGTTTGGTTCCTAGGATATAGTGACTCCAATAAACCTCAAGTTCACCAAGTACAGCAGAGAAAGGGCAGAGTGGTGGGGAGGGATCTGGCTGTTCTGGCTGCACCACAGAGCCAGCTGATCAGCCTTCCATCTGTTGGCTGACTCATGGGCATTCTAGAACAGCGTTTCCCAACCATTTTTGACTTGTGTACCCCATTGGGCATTCTGTCATACCATTAGTTTAACGTACAATTGATTATAATATAGAAACTATTTTACTTAATCTTTTATAAATTCTTAGGCATTTGATGCTTTTAATCTCAAATAAAAAAAAACAACACAAACATGTTGCCTAGTAGTTAGTGAGGAATCGAAATAAATACAAAATAAAATCATATTCTAAACCTGTATTTATAAAACTGGAGCTCCTCTGAGTAACTCCGTTATAATCACATAATTTAAACTTGATGAATTGGGAACACAATACAGAACAAACATTTTATTCAGACTGACTTAAATAGTTGTACTTGGTTTTCATCATACCTCAGTGTTAAAAACAGCTTATACCAGGCTCTTCTCTACATATAGTCTGTTCCTCTGCTTGGTTTTGATGTCTGTCAAAGCTGAAGGTGTACTCAAACAAGAAAAAAGTCATTTTTGGTTGAGAAAAGCTGGTTTTATTTTTCAATTGGGTCCTCAAAAAAAAAAAATCAAAATCATTTTACTACCTAAGAAATAATATAATAATATTTTCATCTACCCCTTGCACTCGCGGACCACTAGGGGAACTTGGTAAATCAAAGGACGGCAAATCTGCAGAAATCAGAGTTAGATCTCTTGTTTCGTTAGTTAGAGTGTGAATATTCACCAGGTCAAGAGTGTAGGGTGGAGACACCCTGCACTCCCTTCGCTGTAGGGCATGCCAGCACGCTTTGCCCTATGGCGTTGGGGAAACTCTCATACATTCTGTGGCGGTTCAATGAGGAGCCATTAAATAGTGTGATTAGATTGAAGTCGAATGAACTTCTCTGGTACAAGTTCCCAAAAGTAAAAAAAAAAAAAAAGCATAAAGAAAGCAAAACAGCATAATCCAGAGGCTACAATCTGCAACACCATAACCCTTGTAAGAAGCACCTTTTGTTGCAGTTGTTGCTTTTGTGCAATGCCTCCACCAGCTTTGTATGTCTAGTAACTGTAATATTTACAAATTCTTCTTAAATATAAGGAAGCTATGGCTGGATGCTTTCCTGCTGGAAGCTAAACCCCCACTCCTGTCATTAGCATTTTTTTTCCAGTGTTCCCCTGTATTTAGCGCTGTCCATTTTCTCCTCTTTAACTTTGCCCACTTTCCTTGTACCTGCTAAATATCATGATGCTGCCACCACCACGAGCCACTGTGGGGATGGTGCTTTTTGGGCAATATCTGTAGAATAACTCTCCTTCATGTCAAAAGTTAAATATGGGTCTCGTCTGACAAGAGTACCTTATTGAACATATTTGTTGGATTTCTAAATAGTTTTGGGATTTTTTAGAGTCATAAGACTTTTTTCTATTCCTCTTGACAACATTTCATGAAGAACAAGGTTTTAAAGTGCATGGATAATGGTTGGTAGTGAAGATTCTCAGTCTTAAAAGGTCATAGTCATAATTTTTTTAATTTTTTCTTTCATTGTTAAGAAAAAAAAAAACAGCCCTCAACAGAGGGGAAGGACTCTGGTTGTAGCTCTCAAAAACCTACAATGCAATACCCCGACCTACATGCAGTGGACAAAACATCTCGCCTGGGCAGCCAAGCCAACAATTGTCCCTAACGACCCCCTTTCAGAAGCATAGACTGGTATTGGGTATTGAAGGCTAACAAAGAACCCAAAGCAATTCATCATTCCTAAGGGGTGGACCTTTTCTTCTGGTTCAATTTGGATGTTTTCAAGTTTTTGTGCTACTATATAAGCTTCAAACTCAACGCTAATTCTGACATTTGGAATTGAAAAAGCTTCCTGGATGGGAAGCGAAATGTCTTCAAACTTGGAAAAAAAGGCCTGTGGATTGTTTTTTTTAAACTTTTTTGGAATGGATAATGGTTGTCCTATTGACAGATTCTTACACCTGAGATATTCGTTGCAGCTCCTGTAGACCTATTCCCTGCTTCTCTGGGTACTGCTCTCCTTGCCTGGCATGTCAGTTATGGTGAACAGGTGTTTATCTAAACCATTCTACTATCTAAAACTATTCTTAAGAAATTCTATTAGTTTATAAACAGCAATAAGTTAGATATTTAGATCTTCTCCACAACAGTATCCCTGGAATGTTAGGATTATTTTTGGTCTTAATGAGTGAATGAATAGGAATTTATTTCAGACAGTTTTTGACAAACAATAAATGAGTCAACCAAATACACACAATAGAGACTAGTTAACATCAACCAAACCAAACATCTATTTCCAAACTAACTAAATTCAACTGAACATAAACAGAAACAAAACCCTCCACCAAATAAACATGTCGGTATATACCGCTAGAGAAACATTGATTATTGTCATGTCTTCATGTTGCTGTTTGTTTTCTATTGTTCTCTAACCAATCTTAGGCCTTTGAAGACTATATAAATATCATATCATAATCAGATTGACTAGATGTATTAATGGGTAAAGGTAGATAAAAGTTGGATAGACTGTACTTTATTTAGAAATGTAAGGAAAAAAGGGACTTAACTAAGGAAGGCGAGAGCAGTCGTGTCCCTTTCGATACTTTTTCAAGGGGGTTTTACTCGGAAACAAGTTAATTTTCTCATTATGTAAAGATAACAAAAGCTGTTTTCTTGTGTTAACGAGATGATAATTTTCTCATAAGACAGCTGTTTTGTCATTATAAAGAGATGACTGGTGTGTGATATTACATACGTCAACACCACAACAGCGGGAGAGGATTTATGAGTATAATTCATGGCAGCCTATGTGTAATTCTGTAAATAATCCTATGTTTAGCTTTAAGGTAACTTCTGATTCATAAGCAATTAGAACTATGCCTCTGGTGCAGGTAACACTGGGTGTTCTCTGAACAGCACCGCTGGTGCATTAACCCCCAAAATGAGTCCAGATTGAAGATTTTCATCAAAAAAACTGTCAGATTTGTTTATACTGTATTCGATGCAGTCCAATCTTCCACTACGACCTGACGACGAGTGAAAAGAAAAAGGAAACTGAAAAACTGATTATTTGGGCACATGCAGTACATACTGCACAACTAAAGGGGCCGTAGGCATGGATGGAGTGGGAATCCAGGGCTGTTGGCCAGCCTCATTCATTACTCATGCAGGTTATTCATCTTGTTATCTCCAGAAATCAATAACTGTCTCGTGATAGTGACATAACTGTTTTGTTATCTTGAGAAAAAAATTATTTAACCATAATAACGAGATAGTTATGTCATTATCTCAAGAAGGCAAAGGAAAAAACAAAGTTGAGTTTGACCCCCCTCGGCTTCCATACTTACAGTAACACAGATATCATACTTGCCAGATTTGTATTTATGTGAAACATTTTAAAAGACAGAAAATATGTGATTTTTACTGTAAACACCTACTTCGTTTTTTTTCCTCTTGTAAAATTGGTCAAATATTTTAAATTTTCCGGTTTAAATGAGAGCTCTAGAAGTATACGTGTTTGTAGAAGGCAGTGTGCACCCTGAGATGTGTAATAACGACGGATGTGTTTCGTGTACCTCCGATGAGCATGATGCAAACAGAAAAGATCTTCTCAGCGTCCGTGTTGGCGGACACGTTGCCAAAGCCCACACTTGTCAGGCTGCTGAGGGTAAAGTAGAGTGAGGCGATGTAAACACTACGGATAGAGGGACCACTGCCAGTAGTGTTGACTTCTACCACACCACCGTATGGAGACTCCAGACGCTTTCCGAGCTCATGGAGCCACCCTGTTGTAAGGAGAATGAGAACTAACTTTAATGAATCAAAAGGAAATGCTGTAAATGCATGTTAACAGAGGTTAAAAATTACCTAAATACTCAAGAGGATTTCTGCAGCAGACCTTATTTAAAAAAAAAAAAAAATTAAAAGTGTTTAACCTATGTTAAGATCTCTTTTTTGCAATATCCAGAACGATACAAATAAGTTCCAAAAACAAAGCAGAAGTTTGGAAACCAAAAACTCTTCTTAGTCAGTACAGCATGGATCCATGCAGCTGATCCCGCGAGACTCTCTCACTGACACTGATTAATGGTAATTGGAAGGAAATACCTTACGCCTGCTTCACTTCAACACTAACTTCAGCGTCAGAAGTAAATAATTAGGACACAAAGCAGTAATCCTGCTTCATGCATTGGCCTGTTATTTTATGACACTGAAAGGCAGTAATTGGTATAGAGAAACCTCCAAAGCTGCTTAGAGAGAATGAGATAATTACAGGCATTGCAGCGCATCAATACTGACCAGAGATCAGCTCAGTGGGGCTCATTACATGACTGACCTAGAGGCTGAGGGCTAAGCCATGAGGGTCTATCATTAATTATGAATAGTCAAGGAAACCACACTTAAAAGAGTTGCTATTCTAATGTTTCACACTCTAACACCTTTTTAATCTAATAAATACCCAGAGATTTAGCCAAATTGGGATGTAATGGGATTATTATTGTTGTTACAGAAATCATGTAATGGAGAGTTTTTGCCTACAGCTTTCCATCCATCCATCCATCCATCCATCCATCCATCCATCCATCCATCCATCCATCCATCCATCCATCCATCCACCCATCCATCCATCCATCCATCCATCCATCCATCCATCCATCCATCCATCCATCCATCCATCCATCCATCCATCGCCCTTTTGTTTAGCCCTAAAGCATATAAAACAAATAAATTCTTTCAATTCTTTTATTCTTTTATCAATCTATTATAATAAACAGGTGTAAGAATAAGCATGGGCACATAAAAATGCACACATTGTTGATTCAGGATGATTTGGTAAAACATTTCCATTTACCATATGACCTGGCTTCCACCTCACAGTTCAGCACTACTGTGTGATAGTGTACTGTATAAAATCCTAATAAAAATGTTTACATTTGGGGTACATTACATTTAATATCTTTGGATGTTTTATTCACAGCTTCCCAACTTACAATAATTATTGATTGTTTGTAAAGAGTCTTTAATAAAAAAAATAATAATTCAATTAAAAAAAAAAAACGAAGTCTCCCAGCTCTTTAAAATGTCATACTTTTTAATATTATGCAGTGAAAATACAGATTTCAAGTCTGAAAAATATACAGAAGTTATCGTTTTAAGGATAACTGACAGCATCCTCGAACCATTAGATAAAAAGGAGCTTAAACCTCATGACAAAAAACTCAGTTCTAACATCTTGGTCTCTATGGGCTTTATTAAAGTGTTTACCGATATCCCAGTTGTAGGCATTAGACTCCATCTCCATCTTGCCGATGATGTACCAGATGCAGGCCATCCAGTGGGCCAGAAGTGCAAACATAGACATGAGCAGGGTGAGGACCACTGTGCTGTGCTGCGAATATCGGTCCATCTTTTGCAGGAGCCTCAGCAAACGAAGTAGACGGACGGTTTTTAACAAGTGCACCACGGACACCTATGGAGAAAGGTACAAACCAAACACGATGAACCTTATCATGCAGGCAAATTAATGGGAGCTTCTATACTATGAATGCATGTCAGCTACATTCTTTCCCAAAAACAAATAAAAAATTGACATAAGTTCTCTTTGATAGCCTTTGTAACTTATGGTTACCTAAATATTATACTACCCAGAAAAATAATTGTTATTCAAATAAGACAGAGGAAATATGAAAAAAAAACATGAATAAAATCCAACAGCTTTGCAGTTTTTCAGCCTCAAGACAAAGATAAATGTTTTATGTTATTGTATATTTAATTGATAGTGATGAAATACTTAAATAACTAAGAGAGAAAACCAGAAGAATAAAGAGTGTTTCTATATCAATGAGTAATGGCACAAATTGGATAAAATTAAAAATGATTCCTTAAATTAATTCAGTTTAAGATAAAAAAAAAAAACATTGACTGACAAAAAAGTGGAAAATTGTAAAGTTATGATAAACTTCCACCATAAACTCACTATAGGTATATTGTATTGACTGACATAATAATTTCACTGGATAAAAGCCCTCTGTGTCCCTCCCAAGCTGCCGCTCTTTCCCTTTGTTTCTTTTCCTACACTTAAATGAACTTCATGCTTTAGAGATGGCCTTTAAGAACAAATTGTTTTTGCTCTGGTTGTAATTAGAAGAATAAGAATAGAAGAATAAAGCTGGTATTTTAGCCAGAAATGCACCAGTAATGCCTTATTTAAATATTGACAAAGTTAGAGTATAGAGATCCAATTTGCTTTGCAGAGGCGTGCACAGACATTTTGGGGGGCAGGTGCTCAGGAGGGGGTGGAGGGCACTTTTTAGCGCACGTGTAACACTTAATTATAAAAAAAAATAAACGCATGTTGAATGAAGTTTGACTTTTATTTGTAACATTCTCTTAACGTGAGTTTTCAATGGAAAAAAGTCACATCACCAACAGAACAGACTAAAGCATACTTCTTTCATCTGGCTCATCTCCCTGTGTTCCCTGACCCATCTGTTCTCCCTCATCCTGGTCTTTTTCTGTCTCTGTGTCTTCCCTGAACTCTTCCTCATCTCCTGTCCTGTTATATGTTGATGGTATAGAGCTTCCCTGCTGTGACTGGCTACAATATATTAATAATAACCATCATGACAATAATAATAATAATATTGATAATAATAATAATAATAATAATAATAATAATAATAATAGCTTTAACAAATATGCCACATTAGTTTAAATAATGGGCTATTAGGGCAACATGACTGGAAGTCTTGTCACGTGAATATGACTTATGGTAGCCTACAAAATAATAGCTATTTTAATACCTGCTGCACAAACCACTTAAAAATAAAATGTGAACAGCTTTTAAGATTTTTCAATATGATTAACCCTCCTTTCTTGGCATTATGCTGCAATTACTAAATCAATATACAATTAAGACAATAAAGAGACCAAAATGTGTTAATTTATGTTGCCTAACAAAACCTATACAACAGAAAACGTTTGTCTTAACACATAGATTTGTACAGAAGAGGATTAGGGCCACTGAAAAAAAAAAAAAGTTAACTGATTTTTAAATTTTATTTCAGTTTAACATGGGAAAAAAGTCAGAATTCTGACTTTTTTATTGTCAGAATTCTGAGATTAAAGTCAGAATACTGAGCAAAAAGTCAGAATTCTCAGCAAAAAGTCAGAATTATGAGAAAAAAGTTAGAATTATGAGATTAAAGTCAGAATACTGAGCAAAAAGTCAGAATTCTCAGCAAAAAGTCAGAATTATGAGAAAAAAGTTAGAATTATGAGATTAAAGTCAGCATTCTGACTTTTTTCCCATACTAAACTGAAATAAAATTTAAAAATCAGTTAACTTATTATTATTATTTTTTTTTCCGTGGCCCTAATCCTCTTCCGTAGATTTGCAATTGCAAACTCTACCAAAATTATTTGTAGCCTATGTGGTCGTCCTCACGTTATCTGTCATTGACTTGGGCTACAGTGTAAAACTTTCAGAATCAGAATCAGGTTTATTGCCATTGTTAGTGAAGGAGTTCACAAACTAGGAATTTTTTATGGTACAATCGTGCAACATGAAACATATAATATGGAATAGGTAAATAAAATTATAAAAATATCTAAAAACTGTGGGTATACGTCATGCAATAAAATACACTTAAGATAAAAAATATGGATACAAAATATAAAAAGTAAAATAGCATCTTACAAGGAGACAACTAGTTTATCTGGTGACCAGTCGGCAAAATGCGTGTTTGGTGCTGCTGAATGAGACATTTTAATGCACAACAAAATGATTCTGCTTGATCTGTATATTACCTGGCTAATGGGGCACGGCAGAAGCAGCCTGTGAGCGACCGTTCCTGCTATCTGAAAACTGCTATGATGCTGCGCATCTGGCATGCCCTGCGGGCGACCGAGCGAGTTCACGTGACAAAGGAAGAGAGAGAGGCTGGTCGGGTGTGCGCAAGTAGGTCGGTCATTTCGGGGCATTGTTTCAGTCGCTTTTAATGGCTCAGGTTTTCAAAAGATCATTTCAAAACCGACCTCAGTAAAATCTTAATAATATTAATAATAATAATAAAAAAAAAAAAACGAGTTTCAAAGGGGCATTTTCTTTGATAGAGGGCAAACTTCCTAGTGCTTTAGCACCACCTAGTGTCTATGTGTGCACGCCCCTGTTGCTTGGTTAAGATACTGTATTTTAGGAGCAGATCTTTTTTTATCTATTGTTACAGAACTAGAACGAGGTTCATTACCAATAAATGAATTAAACATGTAAGGTTGCATATTTTTGATCTGATGATTGAGTAAAGAAATCACTAAATGAAAAAAAATAAATAAATAATGCATACACAAATCCCCTTACTACCTGTCTATAATGTACTGGTCAATGCAAAACAAAAGTAAAATTGAATCAGAATTATTGTTCTAAGCCAAGACCATCTGACCACCTTAAGTCAAAAACAGTCAGACATAAAAATGAATTTAAGAAGAGATGTTTTAATAAATGTTCATGCAAGTCGAACTTTAGAGTTGATTCTGAGTGAAACGTGGGTTATGTTTCAAGATGCAAGCTTTGCTTCTACAGCCTCTACAGTATCTGATCTTTACTGCAGTCACTGGAGCTGTCTGCTCACTCTTTAGTCTTTATGGGCTACAGCTGCTGTGTCGCTTGCTGCTGCTTCTAATGCCAGACTGGTTTAACTGAAATTTTCCCTGCCATACTTTGCTACAGTCCATCTGTTGGGCTCTAAAAAAATCCATACTTACACCCATAAAACCAAGAAGCTGTCTGCAACACTCCATGATACTCCATTTCTAACATCCTGGCCAGCCATGGCCTATTTGTCTTTCCTTTGCACAGCCACAACTTTAACTAAGAACCGTTTTGAATCACCTTACATCCCATAAAAGACAATGTCTTGGCTGTTTATTCAAGAGAAGGTTTGAACGTTTTTAAGTGTGAAATAGACATTTAAAAATGGTCAAGTCCACAAAATAATTCATATTATTTATGTTAAACTTGACACAGTGACTTTGACACCTAGTTGCAAGGCAATAAACCAAACTAGACATCAGCTTTTGCATGTGAACATCACTTTTCATTACTTTTGTTACAAAGCTGTGTGCAAAATCTCAATTCCCCTTGTTAGACTTAGTTGAAAAGGAGTAGAGATTCTCTGGAGTTAAAGAGCTAAAGAGATCCAACAAAAAACAGAGAGGAGAGGTGGAGCCACTTCCTGTTAAAATATGAAAAATAATGCATAACACTAACTTTTTAAATAAGCTAAAAACCAACAGACTTCTCAAATGCTACCTGGATCTTTAATGAGATCCTGACGAATGCTTGTACATTCCCACAGCATGATCTATATGGAGACTATTTCTGATGGAGGACCCTTATAAAATTGCTAATTAGAGCAATCACACACTCGCTTGTAGGAGTGTTTGATTTGTTTTTTGTTTTTTTTTACTTTATATCCTTACCCATTTGAATTATTCAATCAAGCTACTTTGGTGGAGGTCCTCTGGTGCTTGTTTATGATTTAGACAGGAAATATAAGGGTCCCTTCACTCTCTTCTCTAAGTAATGCAGCTGCTCCTCCAGTCTGAAACCTGTTTTGTTACATTATGGCCACAAACTTTCATGTATTTTATCAGATATTTAAAGTAGTGCATGGTTGTTAAGAGGAACAAACAATGAATAGAAATGAGAATTTAGCTCCATTTCCCGAACCAACTAAAACCCACTAAAAATGTAATAAAAAAAAACAGCTTCTTTCAGAAGTTAATTTGCAAATAAAGTCCACCTGTCTGTGATCTAGTGTCAGTGCAAATAACGTTAATCTGTGAGAGCCTTAGAGGTTTTTTAGAGAACATTAGTGAACACAGAGCATCACAAAGACCATAAAAAACAATCAAGGTTAGATCTGGAAAGGTTTAAAGCAAGGTTAAATTACAGATTATATCTCAAGTTTAAATGTTTCATTAAGCATTTCATATAGGCCGATTAGCTGCAGGACAGAGAAACAGCCAAGGTTCCCACAGTGATGATGGAGGAGCTGCAGATTTCTATTACTGAACAGATACAAATTGTGGGCATGGCACTGCTGTCTATTACTACTGTCATTTATGGAAAAGCCGACAAGAAGAAAGCCAGCCACAGAAGGTGCACAAAGGAGGAAAAGGAGCATGAAGTATAAAGTGCATCCAGATATGTACAGTGGATGGTAAGAAATCTCTCCTTTATGTTTTACCATCCACTATATACACTTCATGCACCTTTTCTCCTTTATGCACCTTCTGTTGTTTATAAGAGCCAATGTCACAAGTGAATTTCTCCATTGTGAGATCAATAAAGTTTTATTCTATTGTATTCTATTGTATTCTATTCTATTCTATTATATTATATTCAATTCTGTTCTATTCAGTTCTATTGTTTGTTAGTAAGACGGGAAAAGTCCTGCATTTAATTTACCCGAAGCCACGTAGAGTAGAAGTAGGGCTGGTTATCTAATTAAAGGATACACAAGGCAAAATTTATATTGTGTAGTAAACATATAACTGACAAAATGGTACCATAAGTTGAAGAACCCCCCGCATTATATTTTCAGACTGTCTTTATTGACAAAATAAACATATTAACCATCTGACAAAAGAGCAAATACGAGCTGATGTGTAGTTTTATTAGAGCTACTTTTTCCACATGTCTCCAGCATGCCTGTTTTTTTTTTTTTTTTTTTGCACAATTATGCTTGGAGGTATGAAGGACGAGTGCAGCACAAGGAAGAGTGAAGCCCCCTACTGAGCCCTATGGGCTCCATCTCTCCTACACTATTCATCATCACTCTGAATCCCACCTATGGAGTGAGCAGGCTGTGCCTTTTTCTTCCAGTAGCATTTAAAACATGCAGCATTATGTTTCATGTATGCCTTGTCACCTGTGCCGTCCCCCCCTACACCTTCATTATTTTCTGCTCTGTGTAAAATTTACTTTAAGCTTCCTGACTGTTTTCTTCTTCTGCATTTTTAATTCTGCATTTGCATTCCTGAGATACTAAATGTACAGAAACTCATTATTTCTCCCCCTGCAGCCACCCCTTTAACCATACAGGTGTGCCACAACAGCACTGTGGGACAGGTTTATTTATTTTTATTTTTTTATTGAATAATTGGAGCTGTATTGGGCCAATAACCTTGAAATGTCCACCACTTTTCTTAAGACCCAGGGGGCATAATAACATGCTTTCATAGTGTAAGAGTTAATATTTTTGCATTACTGAAGCCGTCCTCCGTAAAATAACCTCAATGGGAGGCAGTCATGAAATCATTAGGGTATGTTTGTAGGTCACATACTAGAGCTAAATGCTAATTTTATATTTAACTTATTGGCAAAACCAACACATAAATTTACTTTTATGTCTTGAACCATTCAGGAAGTGAAAAAACTGTTTCCTCCTGATCACCAGATTAATCATAGAATACTTAAAATCTACAGTTTACAAAAAATAAAAAATAGAAAGATTTTATCAAAGTAAATATTCAAGTAGATAAGTAATAAATCTAGATCAGTCTCTGCTAATAAAAACTTTTTATCAGATTGTAAAATATATCAAGAAATTTGAAAATCAAGAGTTTATAGAGGGATGGCAGATGTGGTGTAGCTAAGAGTCATTGTGTGTGAAAGAGGGCTACAGTTTGTAAAGGGGACTTTCTAAATGCTCCATCCTGCGAAGGGACATCAGCCAGAACCGTCAGGAATAATTCCCCAAACCAATGCTGTCCCCAGTGACAGCAGAGCTTCCTATGGCCCCATAGCCCTGCACCTATACTCTGCTCTACTGGGAGTGTGTGGTATTTCCATTATTAGAATCTGGATCTAAACTAGTACCTCTGCCTGGAGCAGCCGGTCTTTGCTGCCCTTCTTTTAATAGCAAAAGAAACATGTTTTTCTTGTTTACTACCACTTTTTTCTGTTCTTTCAGCAAGTTATTTTAAATCAAACTGGAAAGCTTCTTGACAATTACAGTCTAAATTATAATCATAACCATGATAAAATGAAAAGCTTTTAAATCATTCTTGCATGCCAAATATAACACCAGCAACAACTGAAAGGTTTTCCTTGTTCGTTTAGAAAAAACAGTGAACAGAATGTTGCCAGTTTCAAACCCTCAATACCTTAATTCAAGATGGTACATAAATTATTTTCATTTTAAAGAAATAAAATCTGCATCTAAATAAAACAAATGTTTTTGTTACTCAACATTTCACCGTTAAGTCTAAACTGGATAGGGTTGAATAACAGTGGAAAACGAGGCACATATAGTGCGACAGACGTCCAAACTTCATACGGCTCATTCAGATACATGCAGTTGAATGGGCAATCTGCCGACACAGTTGGATGTGCGATCTGCACAAATACCCCCTTTACCACTTCAGATGTTGGCTTTTAATTTCAGCAGGCAGAATAATCTTAAGATTTAGTTCATCTCAGGTTAGCCTGTGGAAGACAGGTTGAAATATTTCTGGATTTTCTTTCTACTGCATTATCTCAACTCTCTGCACTTAAAGGTATTGTGGAAGATTTTTGCGAATTTTTTAAAAGACTCCACCGTAAAAAAAAAAAAATGCAGAACCCTGTACCCGCTCCCGAGAGTGAACGCCTATTAAACACATGCAATAGCATGCACGAGACAATTTCTCATTGTGGACGCTCTATTTAAAAGTTTCTGTTCTCATAGCCCATACAAGCTTACTGTCAATGAACGTACTGTACGCCCTAACCCCTAAATCCCTCAATCACTGTATAGAGCGAGGACTATATAGTGGACTTCATAGCAAACTCAGTTAAATTACCATTAGGGCAGATTATCACTACTTTGCTCCCCGTTGTTCACGTAACTCAGCCTCCACTGCACGGTGCATCTTTTTTATTAGTCACTGTTGTCGGGTAGCCTATGGCGACAGCAGGCCGCTGTGACAGTGAATCCCATAATGCTTTGCAACGAGAGCTCTCCAGAGAGAAGAGAGCTCAATGACCGTAGCTAGCCATACATATACGCCTGAAACTGCGTATGCACAGAAAAAGTTAACTAACTGGGGACGAGCACGTAGGACCGCCTTACGTAAACATATCGTCAGAATGATTGGCAACTAGGAGGACCACTCATTTAAATGATTCACCTGGAAATAAAAGATTGTCTTCTACCTTTAAATTTCCAACTTAAAGATGCATTACAGAGTTTCGTAATGATACTGCCATCTGTGGCCAAAACATATAACTGCAGCACTCTTCTGCTCGTTCTTGTAGCTCACGCTTGTGCTGCACAATTTCTATTTTTTTGGTGTCAGGAGATGAGCTGGATGCCAGACACTTCTGAGTAGCCACAAAATTCATCATGAACATAACACTTTGAGTGTTTACTAGGTTGGACCCATTTAACATGGACACGTTTGATGTCACTTCCGCAGAACAGTGTAGGAACTTCCGACTCAAAGTAAATTCAAGAAAAATAGGCTACAGGTTTATAGATGAATCGGTGCTGAACCACTGATGTGTCATTCCACTCATCAAATGATAATATAGTCTTACAGGGTAAAATCAAATGGCTATTGTAAATATATTTTTGTGTAAAAACTTTCATAATGTGTCATTAAGATTAAATTATTTTGGTATAAGAGTCTTTGTGATTTAAGGAGATAAACCAGATAAGCATTCACACAGTCGTTCTGAGGTGTAAAGTACACGTAGGGTCAAAATGTTGTTTTGCTTTTTTTATGTTACATAGACAACTTTATGTTACATAGATAACTTATTAAAAGACACAATGTATTTGAAAAAGGTAGATATAATTTATTGAGGGGAAATTTTCAGTAATTGTTTTGGACCCTGGCTTTTAAGTGTTAAAAATGTCTACTCAATGTAAAGGCCAATTAATAGTTACTAGCTCTATCAAAACCCATTTTTTATGTTTCAAATGTCTAGATAACTAAAATGAAGCTAAACATTTTGTAGATTTTACTATTTTCTTATAACCCTCATAATATCACTGGTAGCGAAACAGACCCCCAGCAAAATGATGTCACCACTGTGGTTGGGACAGTACAGTTGGAAAGCCTGGCTTTGAAGCTTTAGAACATAGTTCTCGTGACTGTGGCTAAATAGCTCAATCTTGCTCTGATCTTACTGACCTTCCTCCAAAAGTTATTTGGTTTGCCCTTGGGGGCAGCAGCAAATCTTCATTGTGCCTAGAGGTATGTATTTGGAGTATTGGCGTCTTCCTTTATCAGCACTTTCTCTTTCCATGTTACTGGACTTTATAGAGTTGTTGCTTCAGTCTAGGAGGTTTCTGGATTGTTTCAGTTTCAATTATAACCAATTTCCTTTCCTATGAGGGTTTGATAAAGATGGATGAGATGACACAATGAGGTGTTCCAACAAAATCATGATCCAGAACTCACCCCGTACAAAGAATCAGCAACCTAAATTGAAATAATCCTCCTGATCTTAATAATGATCAAAATCGAATTATATGTAAGGACCTAGATCCCTGCGTGCGTCCTTCCACTGCTGCCTTTTGCTGTCTATTTAATTTTTTTATTCTCTCTTCCGTAAATAAACAGCGGCTCACAGTTAGATTAGGGAGGAGAGAGCAGAAACTTCAAAAAGTAACGAATCAAAAGCTCCCTGTTGTACCATGTTTCAATTGGCTAATATCCATCAACCCGGAGTAAGACACAACACTCCTAATTGCTCCAGAACTGTGTTTCATCCTGCCCTTAGCTTGTCTTAGGGGGGCCATATGTTTGACTGTGGCAGAAAAAAGTTTTAATGATGCGAGGCTGATCGGTCTGTGCTTTAGCTCGAGCAGAATGTGAAATCAACATGCCAAATCAAAATGACTTTGTGGCAGCACAGTTTATGTTATAAGCATATATGTATGTATATATATATATATATATATATATATATATATATATATATATATATATATATATATATATATATATATATATATATATATATATATATATATATATATATATATATATATATATATATATATATATTCATACATACACATAGAGGGCAAAAAATTCTTAATAAGTAATTTTTTCCTAAAATAAGTGCTTTTTTTTAACTGAGGTGGTAATTGAGACACTTTGCCAATGGAACGAGACAATTTACATTTAAAATGAGGAAAAAAAATATTGTATTGTCTTATTTCAAGTGCCTATTATTTTATTATCTTATTTTCAGTGTAAAAATACTAATTCCATTAACAAATAATCTTATTTACCTACTCAAATTAAGGGGAAATACACTAAATTTAAGACATTATTACTTATTTCTGGATCGTTTTTTCATGGTATATATACACACAAGCAATAAAGGAGTCAAACAGTACCCATTTGGCTACTTACCACGCTGACTTTGACAGCATAGAGCAGGTCAAAAGGCAGTGCAGCCACCAGGTCGATGATGAACCACGTCGTCAGGTAATGGATGCATATCTGCCGAGCGTCAAAGATGACCTGACCTGACTTGCTGACAAAGGTGGTGCGAAAATTGAAAATAATATCTGCCGTTAAAAAACAGAAAAGTTAGAGTTTGGTTATTCTGCAAACAAAATGATCAGAGTACACAATGAAATAATTTGTTATCTGCAACCAACCAATGATGAAGAGGATCTCCACACCAATATCACTGACAGTTGTGCTCCGGGTCAGATCATCGTCGTCACCAATAAAGCACACATTATAGGGCACTGTTACAGCTACGTAGAAGGTGGCGAGCAGGATCAGCCAGTCCCAGCCTGCTTTAAATGTGCTGTAGTGAAGCAATATGAATTTGGACTTCTTGGCATCTGCAACCTTATACTCTGGTAGAGCAGGTGGATCGCCAAACATATTCTAGAAAAGAGAAGAAAAAACTTAGCCTGTTTTTTAAAATCCCCAGCTTTAAGCTGGTAAGAACTGCTTTAATGGGGTCAATGTGTGAATTGTTTTTTTTTGTTTTTTTTTTTTTGTTTTTAATACAAACAACCCTTCCTGTTGTCTTTCTTAACATCTTTACAGAGATTGTTTTTCTTATGAGGCTGGACTACATATCTTAGTGATAAGTGGTCAATATTTTACCTGAAGAAAAACAAATGAATTAAATTGGAAAATTGAGAAAATTAATTTTGCTCATAAAGACAATTCAAACTCCCTTACTTTGTATAAGACAACTTTCTAACGGTATCAATATTGTATAAATTTGTAATATTATGCTCCTAAGCTGTAAAATGCTTCTTAAAGCTAAAGAAGTTTTTTTCTTTACACTTCACTTTTTAGCTTTTTTTTTGTACTTGTTCTATATATAAAAAAACCTGGTATGTCTTTTAACTATAGCAGAATGTAAGATTGTAGTACAGTCACAGACAATTTATACAGTGGTAGCCAAGCAGGCTATATATATATATATATATATATATATATATATATATATATATATATATATATATATATATATATATATATATATATATATATATATGTACATTGAGAGGTGGCTGAAAACAGATTGGCACCAGAACCTGTTTCAGCTTGACCTAAACATAAATATAACTAAGAAAAACATATATATCACCAAATATATCAGCAAAGACAAACCAGATTTTCCTAAAGCCTTTCCTTATAAATATAAACACATATTTACACTTTCATTCTGTCTAAATTAAACAGTGTAATCGATGATCTTCTTTCAGCTTTGAGTTCCAGGGGGATCATCTATTCTATTTGGTATCAAAAATGCCAATCTTTGTGACATGCTTACCTAAAATCAATGCTCCTGCTCTCGCTGCACCTGTACACCTTTAGTGTCTGTGTTTTCAGTCAGCTTTGGTTTTATTGTAGCTCTACCGATCTTACCATATACTGTGCTAATGGCAGAGAATTGCAAGAAGCAAATTGTTTAACAAGTTCATGACAAGAAGAAGAGGACCTCAAAATACAATATGTTTTCCTTTCCAACATGAAATTAATTTTGAAGCTTTAAAGCTACAGTGTCTAATAATTACAGAGATTTACTGACAGAAATGTATTATATTATACATAAGTGTGTTATTTATTATCATCTACGAACTGAAATTATCACTCTTAATGTTTTTGTTGCCTTAGAAATTGCTATTTATGATTAAATATTTTCTCATTTAGGAATGCAGACATTTTTCTTCTATGGCAGCATAGAGCTGACAAGCTAGTGAACAAACTATAGAGATCTCCATTACGCTCGAATATGACTGTGGCAAATTAGGCCTATATAAGGTCTATATGCTACAGAGACTAAATAAATGCTTTTCATAAATTAATCTATGCAAACAAACCTTGTTATCATTTTACAAGATAGGTAATGCAAACGTTGCCATTTTGTACTATAACGACCTCCGTATCGTTAGAAGGGGTGAAGCGGCGAGAGAAGCTGTTCATTTCTCTGCAGTCTGATCATTAGATCTCATTAATAATTACACACTGTAACTTTAACTATTGACTGATAAATAGTGACCCGATACAATACCACCAAAAAACGTACATGGTTTAATTACTAATTTTTTAGTGTGAAATGTCAAAAAAAGTTTGTTGAGATGATACTACTCAAACAGAAAACAGTAATCAAAAACAAAAGGTATGAGAATGACTGACCCATGAATTACTAACCAGTGGGTGAGATAAACTCTAAACAGAAGCAGTGTATTCATAGAGATTTTAGATACAGGCAATTTCATATTTTCTTAGTTTATTTCAAACCAATTTCAGCTTGGGAAATCCATATGCACAATTTGTATGGTCAAATATTTCAGTTGGTGGTAGAAGAAGACGTAGAATATTTTGAAAATGCACAGTTATTCAAAAAGTGACCTGGGCTATTTTATGCCTACATTTCTAGATAAATCATCCCCTATACCTTTAATCAATTAAAGTATTGTTTATTTATTTATCTATCAGTGTCACCGTTGCCACCCTCTGGTTACAATGGGGAATTGCTAGTCCACATGGGAACAACAAATCTTAAGGTAGGGGTGGTCACTGATTGGCTGAGAGTGGCCTTGGCCACTCCTGGACAAAACTGGCAGAACTTCTTCATGAACAAAACAAACAAAAAAACTCCAAAAGAAAACACAAAAAAAACTACAACATACAATATTAACTATTCATAACAAATCCACATTTTCCTATTTTGCTGAACAAAACAGGCAAATAAAAATAAAATAAAAATCATATCAGCAGTACAGTTCTTGCATCTAAATGCCTAACTGCTGTTTGTAGAAGAGCTCACCGACTTGTCCCCTCCCCCCTTCTCACCTGTCTGCCCTTGATTTTGTCATCTGTCCTTTAACAGCAGCATCACTGCTCCCTTTTCTCCATACAGTGACCCTTACATGCAGTAGTTCCCTTTCCCACCCTCTTCTGTTAATTGAACAACGTGATGATACCTTGTTGATTTTAATCTTGCTCTTCTCCCTGCTGTGGAGGTGACCAGAGATGTGGTAGAGCACCGTGCTGCCCCGCAGACGAGCCGAGCTGAATGAAGAGCCCGTTTTCACCCTGCCGCGTCGTCGCTCTGTAAACACATACACACAAAATGTTGTTACACACCTATCTACAACATCTACCCCCCAAGGTTAACTCTTGATGACTGAATCAGTCATTACGCTTGATGAAAAACACATAATATTCTGTCCTAAATAGGAAAACATGAATATGCAAAAGGAGAATAAGCAGCTTGTTTATACCAACAAAAAGTGTTTAAGAGATGCCACCCATGTACAGTTAAAAGAACTCTGAATTGTTAAGTCTATATATGATACTTGGTATAATGCAAATGATGCCTCGCTAACTCAGTTTCCTGCTTTTAGAAGAGTGTCAGTTCTGTATATCATGCTGTATTTTCTGTGAGTAATTACATTTGTGTGAGCTTAAAAACATGCCCCATTCTTTTTAAGTGAGTTGCAGTAGCACACAGATTATGCAGGAGTGATGACTTCAGTCAAAGACGTTGTAATTACAGAAAGCACATTATTGCTGTGGAGTCTTGGGTCTTTGTTTAGTGATGTGAGCCAACGGGAAGGGACAGAAGTGGGTTTAGAGATGATAACGCTGCTGAAGAGTAAAAATTATAACTGCTTCTAAGCGTCCTGTTGGAAAGTCTGTGTGCTTCATGGGTGATTTGTGTGGACCCAAGAAGAGGTACGCAGACAGGCCCCATCCATAACATGGCACAGCCTTGGGGGATGCGACATGGCAGGAGCACAGAGATAGACACATGCTTATTTTTAGATCTAATGAATTTCACTGCACTCCTATTGCCTTTCATATAGGGTTGAGGAAAAGTGCGAGTCTTGTGTGTGAGAAAGGGGAAAAGATATTTAGGATAAGAAAACCAAGGTGAAAATGGACAGTTGCTGGTCAAGACAGCTGGAATAGAGGTGATGGAGGAACATGGGAGTAGGCAAGAACAAAGCAGAGAATTAGGAATAGGAAGGAATTGGAAATCCAGCTGCTGAATCAAATTGGGGCTGACTCAAGATTGGGATTCATTTTTTCCTCTGTTGACTTGCCCAAAGAGCTACAGTTTCTATGTGGGTCACATGTAAGGTGTCCCTAGCTTGGGTGAAATTTCAAACGTGTATATATATATATATATATATATATATATATATATATATATATATATATATATATATATATATATATATATATATATATATATATATATATATATATATATATATATATATATATATATATATATATATATATATATATATATATATATATATATATATATATACATACATACATATATGTATATTTTTAAATACTAATTGTTTATTCAAAATGTGTGACTACATTTTTTTGCACTAATTCTGAAAAAAAATCTCATTCATCCTTTTCCACATCTCTCCTATTATTTATCTATACTGTAGAAAGAACTTAAGGTTTGGGGGGATTAATATCTTGATAAAAAGATGTGAAGACACCCAAATAAAAAAAAAAACTAAACACCAACTATAAATTCACGTAGAAACTGATATAGAAAAATGATCTTGGTCTGATAGCTTTTTTTTTTCTTTCAAATGTGCATATGGTAACATTACTTTTTTAGATTGAATGCGTATTATCGGAAAATAAATGCACTTCAGGCCAAAAGGAAATTAAGATTAATGTCTACAAATTTAACTGATTGCTTAATGTTAATCTTTGATAAGTCAAGATACAAATAAACCTCTCAGAATAAAAAAAAAATGGGAAAGAATAGGTACACCACTGCCTGCTTCCATGAGATTCAAACTGGATAATAGCTGCAAATAGGTTTAACAGACGGTAGAAACCTTACAGAAGCAATAGTTCCTGGCAAACAATGTATCAGGCAAATTGTCTGGAGTCCATTGGTCTTCCAGAAGAAAGATTATTCATATGGTGAAAATATTTAGAAAAGCGGCCAGTCCTCTCCAAACTGTACGCCCAAGTTAATACATCACAGGATCCAATTAATTGTAAAATAAACTAAGCCCAATTTTTTTTTTGGCAATAATAGCTTGACTTTGTTGTCTTACTTAACATTAAAGTTCATGATGGAGCATCAACAACAACAAAATAAGCTGTGAACCATTTTGTTCGCTTTAATGGGAGACATGGAAAAATGTTGACTGTCTACATAAAATATAATAGAACAGAATGTGTTTGCAGAGTTGCATCCAAAAAAACCCCACATTTGTTTATTAATTTTCTTTCACAGTGTTGGTTGACAGTTGGGACTAAAGTGGAGATGTTTGATATTAATGCACAGCGCTGTGTTTGGACAAACCGAATACAGTACACAGCACATTAATCCTTATCAACACAGGCGGTGAACATGTCATAATAAGAGCTTGTTTTGCAGCTAAAGGACGCTGTCACATTGCAGTCATTTGGTGCGCCATCATCTCCTCTGTATATCAAATGTATAAAGGTCAAATGTAATGCTGTCCATGCAACAGCACAATCTCTGTTCACACTGCAACATGGATCCAGGCACACCTTCAAAATAAAAGAATGAAGCTGTTGCTATGGAACATGAAAGCTCAGACATTAAATAGTTAAACTTAATATCAGAACTTTTGAAAAATGGATGGAAACTTTAAGAGTAGATACAGCTAAAAATGGTATTGCACCCATCCGAGTAACACAGTTTAAAGCTGTGCCAGTTTTGACATTAAACAAAAGTTGTTTATTCCAATTGCTCTATAGAATGCAAACATCCAAATGCACAATTTGACTTCATTGATATATATTATTTTTCATTCTTTAGTTTGAAAAAATATCCATTCAACAGTATCAATATTCACATTTATATTTACCTTCTTTCTTTTCCTCTTGGGTGGTTTTGACTTTAGAGTCAGTAATGTCCTTAAATGAGGCCAGAAACAGCACCACGTCACCCTTCTCATTCTTAATGGGCACAATGTCCAGGAGACACCAGAAGAGAGCAGCTGAAAGGAAAGAACATCCTTGTTAACACTTATAAACACCATCTCTGGTTACTTTCTGAATGGATCCAGAATCTGTGTGTGTGTGTGCAGGTGCACGGTGCATAACATGCGAGTGTGAGGGGGTGGATGTGGATGTGTGTGTGTCCAAACTGTATACGTGTATGTGTGTCCACAAAGCGACTCTTCTATACATTCCTGTACTAGCTAATGAGCCTGTCTGCTGCTAGAAGTCACTAGAGAGAGGCTGAGCCCTGAAATAGCCTGAGCCAGTGTTCCCAACAGACACAACAGGAGAGAACCTGTTTCCAAGGTCCCATTTTTGTTGAATCACTTGCTTTTGTGTTTCTGTAAAATGTTTAAAAGATTACTGCTGTCTACATTTCCTTCATATATCTTGAGTAATATATTATTTAGTAACAACCTCCTTTTGGACATCTGTACATGGGAAATATTTTTTATTTAATTTGGGTAAAAGTATGATTTAAAAAAAAAAAGAATCAGAGAAAATAAATGGTGGTATTTTTATGTGTTTGGGTCTTGGTTTTTGTCTGTGTCAGGGACACCAGTAGCGTAGGATGCAAATGTTCATCCTGAAAACCGGAGGGTTGCCAGTTTGAATCCCAGCCTGGTCTGTTTGCCTCTTGATAGAGGTCAGAGACCCTGCTCATTTGTCAGTTGCACCTATGGCAGCTCTGGCTACATCATCAGCCTTCAGGCACCATCAGGCTGAATGTAGTGTAAATCGCTCTGGGAGCATTGGACTTGATTGATCACTGATCATTTATAATTTGACCATTTTGGTACTCTTTTAGTATTACTAATGTCATGTGTTTTTCTCTAAATGTTTGGTGTATTTTCTTAAATTATTCCCTCCCTTCAAGTTCTAGTTCCTATTGTTCTTTGATTTGTCTCCTTTCCTAGGTTCCCCTGCTCAGTACCCTCCCTCATTGGTTTAGTATTCCCCTGATTAGATTCACCTGGTTTCCATGTCACTAATCACATGTCCTGTTGTCAAGTTATGCTGCCCTTGTTCCATCTCCTGCTCTCTCTGTCCCCCCTTAAGCTTGCTCAGTTCTCTCATTAAATTCTGTTTTCACTCACCAAGTAGCACCTGAACTCCTGCCTCCAACCTTTTCTTGCTCCAACCTCACACTACATGACGTTAAGACGTATTCCCTAAGCTTTAAAAAGGTGATCCATTTCCACTGCATCAGCAAGTTCTCTGCAGCTGTGGCCAGTGGCTTTTCAGCATTATCAGCTAATTAAATTTCCTCATTGTTTCAGTCAGAATCAGACTCAGACATACTTTAATAATCCCAGAGGGAAATTACAGGTAATCCAAGAGGCAAATTACAATGTAGTTCTTTTTTTTAGTTCATTGTTAATTTTTCTTTACCAAACTACTGAACACTTTATTTCATATAGCAAAAAGAGGCCAGAGGTGTCATTTAACAACATAATAATAGTTTGTTGCTATACTTTGGTACCTTTTACCAGTTACAACTTCAGGTTTTTTTTTTGTTTTTGTTTTTCGGTCTTTGTACTTCTACTCCCTACATTTAAACACAAATATATGTAATTTGTACCCTTTACTTTCTCAAAACGTACTTGTTTGCTTTATACTAAGTCATATAAATGTTATATTCATAACAAAACAGGGGGAAAAAACAAATTAACAAAAATAACTATAAAGCTGGAAACGCTTTATTACAGGAAAACCAGACATGATTAAAGCCAGAAGGCTGGGAAAGAATCAGAGACGAAAGATATTTCTCATTAGTTGCCTTATTCAAGAGAATCTTTTGGTGTGGTAGGCTTCAACAATGATTCAAGGTAAATATGCTGCAAACCTAAAACCTGCAAGCTTGTTTTTTTTTAAGCATTTTCCATTTGATCTGTGAAAAACAAACGCATAGAGACCTACTATTAGAATATGAGCAACCACACAAACCATTTCTGTCAGGTTGAGTGGAGGTTTTTAGAGGACCCAAATGCAGAGACAGAAGGTGAGGTGGTTTCTTGCAGGTTTAATATCCAAAAAATAAATAAATACCACGAGACATTAGGGAAAAAGTAAGCTTGCATGAACAATGCAAACAGCAACTTTTAAACAGAGCGTGCACGAGCAGAAATGAGTTTGTGCGTGCTCTCGCATGCGTTTAATAGGCGTTACCTCTCGGGAGCGGGTACAGGGTTGTGCATGTGAATTTTCTTTTTTAAAGGTAGAAATATGCGAAAAATCCTCCACTATACCTTTAATTTATCTCCCTGAGGTGCCTTTAAAAAATCTCTCTTTGACAGCTGGATGGCTGCCATCTTTGTATAGACACATGTTGGGTGCCTTCCAGGTATTGCATGTTATTATTTCATTGTAAATTTCATGATATAAATATTTATCTATCAAATTATGTATAAATGAATAAATCATTTCAATTATCCAATGGTATATTTAACGGTAAATGTATTTATTTCACTTAATATTAATTTAGTTAATTTAACACTACATAGGACCTGGTCACGTTTCTGGACAATATAAGAATTAAAAAATTGAATCCCCCACCAAGCTCAGATGTTGCTGCAGTTTTCCTCTCAGAAAGCCTCAGACACTTCTTTTTAATCTTACCTCACTTTAGCATTTAGGAAAACAACAAACAAATCGGTTCAAACTGGGAAAATCTATTTTTAAATGGTACATCATCCTCATTTGGTTGGCCTGGTGGTGGTAGACCTGCATGTTATTTCAACCATTTAAAGAAAAACGATAAAACGGGGTGTCCAAATGCATTTCTTACCATTCTTTTTTAAATTGCTGTTTACTTCTAAAACTGGGATATCTTACCATTGTAAATATAGATGTTTAATACTTATAAATCCAAATATATTAAAAACCTACAGACTTTAAAAGGTATTCTATTTTTCTTTCTCAAATTACATTGCATTCCCACAGGATCCTTCTGTAATTATTTCCTTCAGGAGGTTTAAATGAATTCCTGATCAAGAGGGATTTCCCACGGAGTTTCCTCTCATTACTCCCACTCATTAAATTCTCCTTGCAGGGCGATAATAACAGTATTTTGGTTTTTGCATGTGTGATGTGAGTGTCTGCATGTCTGTGAGAGAAAGCGGCACTATCAAGCACACAGCACGAAAAAGGAGCTCCCTTGATTGCGAACATGCAGCGCTTCCTTTTTTTAGACCTACAGACAGACAGAGGGGGACAAACCGATTCAATCAGTTTTGCTTTCAGGTCTGGTGTGACTGGTGAAAAAAAAAGCGGGATGATGAAACAAAAGAACAGTTAAAAGGATAAGAACCAGTATGGTGGGAGGCAGATAGATGCTTTGGCAGAATCATGTGGAAGTGAAGATGGAAATAAAGGAAATAAAATGAGGGATGCAGCAGTGACTAAAAGGAGATCTTATGTGATGTTAGCTGCTGGTTGTGTGAGTGTGTGTTCAAGCTGTCACTTCATTTAACTTAAAACCTTAAACATTAAATGCAGAGAAAACAATAAGCCATTTATGATGCCCCACAGAATCATTAAGTTTTTAAAGCAGCTATCCTGAAGCCTCACGTACAAAAACAGAGCAAAGCGTTCATACTGAAGCGCACCACAAGAACTCGGATTTATGAAACAATGCATACAACCCAATAGATAGCGACACAAGAGCAGTAGTGCCAAGATTTTATGCATGATTTATTTATTTTTCAAATGAACTGGGGCTTTGTTGAGTGTTAGTGCGCATTACAGGGCCTTGTGAGGTGATTTGTGCTTTAAAAGATACAAAGTAAAGATTTTTATGTAGTGGACAACTGCAGAGTCCAGGTTAAGATGATAGGGTTGCTTTTCCATGAAAGTAATAGGTATTTCACTATAATCAGTTTTCTATTTTTATATTGCTTTTGTACTTTTTTATGGTCTCAAAATTTAAATGATATTTTTACAAGAATGGAACAGAAACATGTGCATATAGATGTAATGATGAAGCGATTCTGTTCCACTTTGTTTACATTACATTTTTTAAGCTAAGTAGCTTTAAGCAACTATTTTGAATCATTTAAAAATGTTCTTACCACAAATAAACTGATTCAAGCAAATGATTGCTTTATTAGATGGCTTATGTTTTTTTCTGCACAGGCTTATTATTCTGCTTAGTTGCAAGAGTTTGCTTATGTTCACCCATCCATTTTCTAACACGCTTCCTCCAAAGTGGGGTCGCGAGTTGTGCTGGTGCCTATCCAGCTGTCAATGGGCGAGAGGCGGGGTACACCCTGGACAGGTCGCAAGTCCATCGCAGGCTTATGTTCAGTTCTTCTGGTAATTATTAAGTAATGGAAACCCAACCACCTTTAAACCCAACAATGCATATACATTGCGGTTATTTTACCCGTAACAGAGCTGTGACTGGGCTCCATACAATCACACTAGCATAGTTATGCTGCAGCGCTCTGGACCTGATGCCACATTTGAAATATCTATTTGTGTAGAGCAGCAGTTGATTGTGGATAGGGCTGCTCTGTGGTGCAGTGGGTAGCACTGTCGCTTTGCAGCAAGAAGGTTCTGGGTTTGATACCCGGCCTGGGGTGTGCATGGAGTCTGCTTGTTCTCCCTGTGTAGCCGGTACTCCGGCTTCCTCCCACAGTCCAAAAACATGACTGTTAGGTTATTTACCTACGAAGAATCCCAAAATTCTCCTTGGGTGTGTGCATGAATGGTTGTTCCTCCTTTTTTGTCTCTGCGATGGAATGGTGACCTACCCAGGGTGTACCGCCTTTCTCGCCCGTAGACAGCTGGAGATAGGCACCAGCACCACTCGTGACGCCCCTTGGGATAAGCATGATGGAAAATGGATGGATGATTGTGGATATTCTATCCCCATAAATACATTTGAAAATACATATGACCCACCAGGTGTCACATTAACTTTGGCAATGCTGTAGTCATGTCATCACAGAGTCTTCATTAACACTGCCTTATATCATAATATCATATATCAACA